CTGTTAAATGTTGAAACAAAGTATTATTGATACTGAACACTTGGTAATTTATTCAATCTAAAATCATCTTTGTTGCTTTTAAGCATAACATTTATTTGTTGCATTCTCTTTGGCCATTTTAATATGAAAGTCATGTCAAATATTAATGCAGCATTTGATAAATGATATCTTAAAAACATTTGTATAATAACATTATTATATATATTTGAAAAGTTTCAAACTTGTTGTGTTCCTGCTTATTTGTTCTTTATATTTCTATTTAAATTTATGTCAGCATAACATGCTGGACTGCAAATACTTTTACAGGCCAGACTTTTTCCTACTCTATGTTGCATTCCAAGTGAAATAATCTTTTTTCAGGTGAATTTTATGCCCAGTTTTCAACTGTCAGATCCTGTAAGTGAGGACGAGTTCTTTAGAAGGCAGAAAGAACAAATGCAGGTCAGGTGTAATTGCACAACTGACCATTTTATCCATAGAAAAAAGAAAAATAGTTTTTTTAATGGCTGACTTTAATTTCATATTGAAGTGCATAATGACCAAAGGCAATGGTGGGATTCTACATTTTTAGGAACCAGTTATCTCATTACATCTGAAGATTTTTTGCTTATGGCATTAATAAGAAATATATACAATTAAATTATCATATTTCATTATACAAAAAAATTTAAATAAAATTAAATAAGCAAAAGTATGAAATAATGTTTTAAAACCTTTTAAGTTTTTTTATTTATTTATTTTTTTATTTCATACATATTTTAAAGTTAGGAAGAGCTAGTCATCCTAATCTAATTTCAAAAAACTTTTAAAAAGTTGTGGGGAAAACATTGTTGAAATTAATACTAGATAAGGGAAAACTTTAATTTTCCATTGTTCCAGGAAGTGGTTCTGTGAACTTTTGTGATTTTAGTAAATGATTCATGCAAACTGGTACAAATCATCTGAATCCCACCACTGGCCAAAGGCATTTCTAAGCTTTCATCTGACCATTTATACTCATTATTGTTATATTCACAATGTTTCAGTCTTATTTTTCTTCCATTCTTTCTTCTGTCCTGGTGTAATTTACTCAACTGCATATAATTTTGATTTGATGGCCCTATGAGAATTTATTGATCCAAACATTGTGAGAACTTGAGTGAGCTTATGAATCTGATGAAATCTTCCAAATGTTAACATCTCTCTCACTATCGCTCTCTTTTTTTCTAAAATTATCCCAAAAGACAAAGCACTTTGATTTGCACCAACTCTTTTTTTATTCTGTAGAAAAGTGAAAGTTCTGGGATATTTTTTATTCAAATAAAAAAAAAAAAATTATTTACATTATTTGGACTATTTTCCTCATCTTTGTCACCATATTTTTATTACAATGTTTCAGCTGTTGTACGCTCCGGCCTTCTTCAGGTGGTTGGAATGTCGAACTTAACCCTTTATTTCGCTCACTGGGGTAGACGGTATGAATGTCTGGGTATTATAAACCTAGTGTCTTCAGCAACTATTTTTATCAGTGCTCATATTGCAATTTTTTGCTGTTATCATTGCATGTTTTTACCAAAGCTCATATTGCAACTTTTGTTATTATCGATTTTCTCTGGCACTCCTTATTACGAGTGCCAGAGAAAAGCAATAACAACAAAAGCTGCAATATGAGCTCTGATAAAAACATGCAATGATAACAGCAAAAAATTGCAATATGAAGACATTGTTGAAGACATTGTTTATAATTAGGTTTATAATACCCAGATGTCCTCAAGGACACATGGCACAGTAGATAAAGGCGTTAGTTAGATCCAGTCACAGGACCCAAATGTGTCCGAGTTCAATACCCAGTTAAGGCGGTGGAGAACTTTCAGAGGGGAATTAACAGGAGATAACTGACACCCATTAAACATGGCATGTAGAACTAGAACAGACTACCCCAGTGAGCGAAATAAAGGGTTCAGTTCGACATTCCAACCACCTGAAGAAACGTAATAAAAATATGGCGACAAAGATCAGGACAACAGTCCGAATAATGTAAATAATGTACATAATACCTCATCTCAGAAATATAGACAGATACTAAAAAAAAATATCAAATATAGTATTTATAAAATAGATTAAACTTAGTATTTTACATACTTGAATTTCAGCTGCTAACACAATTCCTCTTTTATGTATTGGCTGTCTAATTTGACTACAATTACATTTGTGATTGAACAGATCTTTCATATTTATTTGTGAAGTTATAGAATATTCACATTTAATTTTAAGAGAAATATATGCTGTTTGGATCTTTCTCATACAAGTCTGATTGCTTGGAGAAAGAGAATACATTTATTTGACTTTTATTTAAGTTTTTTTTTAGTTTTCTATAATGAGCCTGTTGGAATCCATTTAGCTGTCACTTCAATGATCTTTCATTGAAATTTATATACAAGAGCAACAATACCATAGAAATGAAACAGAAAGAAAAATTTTCCCTTTGTATAAAAGTTAAACTTTGTTGAGTTTGCCACATTGTATAATAATTATGTATATCCAATTATATTAACAAAGTTCTAAAACATAATTTTGGTTTAAACTGCATTCATATATTTCTATCAATATTTGGTGTCAATTTTTTTTATTTTCATCATACTATAAATACTAACAAATTCACTGAAGGAAACAGTTTTCCTACTGTTTATTGTTCTTATATACTTTTATGAATTTTCTTTTAACTTAAGCAAAAAAAATGAACTTAAAATATAAATTTCTCCAAAATGTTAATTGGTGAAAAATTCTCTGCATATTTACTTAAATATCATTGTTATATAAACATGAAACTTGTGCAAGTTGGGCACAATCTTTCATAATTCTGTTTCAATGACTATCAGTAATTGTTTACAATGATTTTATGAGTTTACATTAAATCTTGATAATATTCTCATAAAAATAAGTTCTTATTTATAAAACAATGTTTTTTAATATGTATTAATAAATATTTTGGACAATGTTTATATATTTTTACTCTTAGAAGAAAGACTAATTTCAATAGTCAATGAGATTTTAATTCTTGAAACTTTTTTTAGAGCTTAAAAGTAAAAGAAAATTTTCTTTGGCTATGTCATTGACTTTCTGTAGTCAGACCAAGGGATTAAGATCTAATAAAATGTGCTCATGCCCCAGGGACTGTCCCTACAAGAAATACCTCTCCTTCAGAAAGTTTAGGGTCATTACTTGGTGCCTGCAATATCTCCAAGTGTTAAAAAGTTTGACCATTTTTGTCTCTCATCCATGTATACATGGACACCTACTTGAAACTCAACTTTTTTGTCACATTACATTGAAGGAGAGGCATACACTGATAAATATCTGTTTTGTCAGCAAAATGATGAAATGGCTGTGTTGCTAGATGGCAAAAGTAATTAGACAATGAGTGGCATGGCTGATTTTTATGCATTAGCAAATCACTTGCATATGAAAATCACTTCATCTAATAAAAACTTGGATATTTCATCTCAGTCAGCAAAATCAAAAGATGGGAGGAACTAAACACCATTACAAGATTAAACCTAAAAACATATCTATAAATAAAAAATAGTCTAATCATTATCAAGCTGACATATTTATATTTTGTATAATAGAAATACAAAAAAATTAATTTTTTTATCTCTTGAAGTAAGCCTTTGCCTTATCTTTTTTTTATTGGATATGTTTTTATTAGTTTTCTAATTGTTATTTCAAATATCTGTCCTAAAATCTTTCAACTGGACAATTGGCATTATTGCACAATGGGCTTTTCTTGTTCATCTGCTTTGGTAGACTTCACTTGTCTAAGCACTACGTATTTTGGGAGATTTTTTTTTTTTTTAACAAACAGGTCATTATCATTTTAAATGTTTTTTCTGTATAATTTTACCAAATTATTTTTCTGCATCATCACACACAATTAAACAAAACAAAAAAAAGGACAAAGTGGATCATTTTTCTCTCCACCTCCATAAGAAAAACTGTCATTTTCCTTCAATAATATTTGGTTTTGTTTTATGCTTGAAACTTTAATTTTAATTCCTGCTTAATTTTAAGACTTTGGTTTATCATACATTTTAATTTATTTCTTGTAAGGAGCATTGTATTTTCTTTTTGTATTTGCATTCTTATTGAATTTTACTCATTTCAAATTTGGAAGTTAAAAAAAAAAAAGACAAAAATAGGAAAGTCCAAAGTTATAAAATTAATCTTCATGTTGAGGAATTTCTGCAAAATGAATATTGTACATTCCACAATGATCTTTATACATAACTGATATTTTGACATTATAACCATTTTCAAGAGAAAATTAAATAGCCAAATAAAATGATTTTCAAACTGCTTCATTTTTCTTAGTAATATTATAGCTGATAACATGTGGACCTTTCCTATACATTGTTTTGAAAATGTACAAACTTACAGACATAATATTTGTTTGAGATAGAAAATGATTCTTATTTTTTTAACTAAAATAAGAATAAGATTGTGCATATTCTTCTATACAGAGTGGGTTCTGGAAAGTTCTTGCCCAAACCACCTGTTGAGACCTGACGATTTTTTTGTTATTAGGAAGAACTTTTTAGTTGGACGAAGAAATTTTTAGTAAAGGGAGATAACTCCTATTGTGAATAACTGATTAAGTAATCAGTTATCCAAATTGATAATGATCAAATCTCAAGTGTTGTCAACTGACATAAATAGGACAAAATCATGGTAAACTCTTCTAAAAAAGAAATAATTATTAAGGAATTAAGACATAACTGGATAATAATAGCTTTTTATTAACATGAACACACACACACACACACACACACACATTCAGTTGACTTTGTATGTTATTTAACATTTAAGAAATATAATCTGATTTTTAAAAAAATTAACATTTTGTAAAATGCATTTTAATGTTTTGTTATTTCAATGTTATTACTCATATAAAGAGTTTAATAACAACTGAATTAAATTCTATATTTATATCCCCCCCATCTGTTCTCTTTTACTCTATGCAGATTGAAGGATTATCTGAACTAGAAAAAGGCAGTAAACTTCAAGAAAGTTTAAGGGGTCCACTTTGTTCAATTATACTTGTAGCATACCACACAGTTGTTAGTTTTGTTTTGGGTAAGTATTGCTTCATGATTTCTATTCCTGAAATTGTTCTATATATGATATTAATATTTTCATGTCATGTGAGCTTAAATTCTTTACATGTAAAATATTTTATTGCTTTGTAATATGATTTGAAAATTTGATTATATTTTCACATATACAAAGTTTACTCAAAAGTCAAATATTGGACCATTCAATTCTCCATCCTTCATACATTCTAAAAGTGAAATTAATTTAATTAAACATTATTTACATTAATGATATAATTGGTAGTTTTATAGTGACATTGTTAATTTTTAATAGTTATAATTAACATAGTAAATAAACTCCCAATAATTGTGATAAAATTTAAAACTTTTGTTTATTTACATTATTGCAACAATTTTTTTTGTATGTAAAAGTATGTGTAAGTTAATTTCTGGTGGGTGCATCTTTTAAGAATGAACAGTTTTATGACATATTTGTAGAAATGGACATATCTGACATGAAGTTCATATATTATAGTAAATTTCATTAGTATAGAAGAAAAGGAAATGTGTATTGACTGAGAAAAGTTGGTGTCTAGTTGTTGAGTTTTATGATCTTTAGCCCCTTCACTTGCATTTTGTGGGAAAATAAGTCATTTGACAGATTCATGCAGACAAGCTGGTATTTTTCAAGACCTGTTGCAAGGTTTCATATTTAATTGTTTTCAGGAGATACAAACTTGAAGAGTTTTGAATTTACTCAAACTAACTGATTGATTGAAAATTCTCTTTTTATATTTTGTAATCTGTTTTCTACAATGTTAACAAATTTCTAATTTTATCTTTTAGATTTAATTTTTGGTAGTGTTTTATTAGACCTGCTGTTTTGATAAGTTAATCCTATTTTTGCATGACTCTGAAATCTTTACATACTAGCTATTTTGATTAATATATTTTGACTCTTACTGTCATTTAATTTTAACTGCATGTTTTTCTTATTGAAATGTTTATAACAGGTTTTTAGTTCTGAAAGCAATACCTTTCTGTAAATGTTAGAGAAAAGTTGAAAAGCCATATGTGTAGTTTATTAATATTTTTATTTTTAATTAGGAATAACAATGTAAATCTTTTTCAGTATTTTTAAGTAACTTTTCATGAATAACTTTTTCTGATCTCTAAAATGATTTTTTGTTTTTAAACCTTAGGTTTGGGTGATGGTGATGTTGATTTTGCTGCTGAGGTACTGCAACCATGTCTTCAGTCTTACCCAAAGGTAAAACAAAAAACCAATCACAATCTGATTGGGGGGGACCCTGAGAGTGCTTTGTGACCTCTGCTATCTTATCAGCATTTGCTATTTTCTACCTACATTTATCTATGTTGCAAATTAAACTAAGGACAATTGACTATTAAAGGATGAAAAACTTTCATTGATTTTCAAAATTCACTATTTTTATCTATAATATTGAATGTGTTAAAGTTTTTAATCAGAAAACTCAAGTTAATGCTAAAAATTGCCACAAAATAGTGTTGATTTATTTAAGATGGAATGATCTATTATTCTCTAATTTGTATTTAGAGACATTGCATTTAATTTTTCTAATTGAATTATCCACCTATATTGCATTTGATTCATTATTGTACATAATTAGGTTACAATAAAATTTGCATTTTATATGAATACTACCTTATGAAAATTGAGTGGGTGTATCATAGACTGGTTGCATATCATAGATTTAGTGGGCCCTGGCTAAAACCACTTTACCTATAGATTGGGAGGTGGGTGAGACCTTTGCACTGGCCTTGCTAGTATGAGTAGGCCCTCCTACTGTGTATTATTTAAGTAAGAAATAATATTCATCCATTTTTTGTACATTTTAGTTTGGGTTTTCTTTAATTTTTTGCTTTTATACAATTAACAATTGTGGGAGTTTTTTTTATGCTAGGTCATTTGTTTTTTTTCTTCATTGGTGTTTTACTATTGACAAAGCAGATATTTTTAGTCACTGAAAATTCTTGTTAATGAAATACTGCTGAGTTTTTTTAGTGGCTGAAGAAAGTGAAAATAATTTTATTGATTTGTCAGTGAATTAGAAATTTCATTTTGCCATTAATCTCAGCTGACTTTCAGTTAGTGATTCACAAGGACATAGTGAGTCTTATTCAGAAAAATAAAAAAAATGACAAAATCAATTTTGAGGCCATATTTGCCCCAATGATGAATTTTTTTTTTTTTTTTTGTTTTTTTAGATTTTTTTAAAATTAAAGTTCTTCATCAAAATAAAAATTTTAAAATTTGTATTTTGATGAAGAACTCACTGTATTTGTAAAGAAACCAACAAATTTGCTACTCAAAGATGTACAATGCACAATTAATTTTTTTTTTTTTTTTTGTCAAAAATTCATGAAAGAATCGTCAACAAGATATCTTGCAATTGTCTGCAAGGTGCTATTTTTTTGCCATTCAATTCCCAAAAAAAGACAAAATATTTTTTTTGTGTGGACATATTACATACTTGAAATAATATTCCATACTTGAACTATCTTGTTCAAAATTGAAACAATTTTGTGGACAAAAATTCCTTGAACCAAGGCTACAGTTTTAACTTAAGTATAATTCCTACTAGTAATTTACTAATATATGTCTATTCAGATGTACTTTGTATAAGTTTAATCAAATTTTATATAGTTAAATTTTGTTAGGTTGAAATTTTTGCACAAGGAAAAGGGTTTAGAGCCACTAAGGTAGGAAAAATATTTACCAGTAAATTATAAAGATATAAATGGATATTAATTTGTAATAAGTCATACAATTCCTTCAGCAGTTAATGCTCACTAATTTATGTCAAAACCAAAAGATTTTTGTTAATCTTCTAATGTTCTTGGTACTTTTTCATAGTCTTCAGTTAAAATATTGATATCCTGTTCATACCATTCATAGCTTACATTGCTGACACATATTTCACTGAACTGATGTCTATATTTTAGTAGAAATTGGAATGAATTCTGTCCCCAAAGAATCAACTTCTGATTTGTTCCATTGTTTGAGAGATGTTGTTGTATTATAATAATATTTCATTCTAATTGACTTAAATAAAAATGCTTTGTTGAAATTTTATCGATTTCAATGTTAACTAGCTTAATAAATGGTGAGCAATTTTCCTTTGGCTCTCCATGCTAGACACTTGCCAATATTCAGTTTATTAGAGATAGGTAAATTTGTTTTGCATATTGTACCATTTATTATTATTTGCTGTTACCATCATCAGTAACTAGAATAGACCTATGCACCATAAATTAATGACTTATTGGCCAAGACCCCACAATTGAGTTACTTAAATATGACTATAACAGTATAGATTTTAAAAATGCAAATACAATATCATTGTTTCATTTAAAATGAATAAATCATTGCCAATTAATAATCTATTGCTTGTGGTTTAACTTGTTTAAATAATATTTGCATAAAGCAAATTTCAACATATTGAATTTTTCTTACTATACATTTTTTGTGGTTGTTTTAATGGCAATAAAATCAAACTATCAGAAATTAGTCATTTCTCAAGATATATGAAGCATCAAATAATATTAATTTATTTTACTACAATCATTTTCCTTTGTTGTATTACTAAATCATTGTATCAAAATAAATTCTTCAAACTTGTAATTTTAAAAATGTTTGTGTAGCTGTAAGTTTGTTTTACATTTGTTGCTTTGTGCCATCTTAGTTGTTTCAAGGTGACAAATATTATTGAATAGAGATGATAATTGTCATAAAATTAATATTGTTTTGTTATAAAAGGGAAAATTGAATTGATTGAACTCTTTGAATTAACTTATTAATTATTTGGATTCAGTATTTCAAAAGTACTCTTGGGATTCTTGGTTTCTCTGCTATTTTATAATTTTTGAGAAAAAAAGCGACAACAACAATCACGACATTTTGTTTCAAACATATTAAGTATTCTGTTTTTTTTTGTTTTTTTTTTAATTTTTCAGGGTGCTCTTTTTTTATTTTTTTCTGGTCGTGTTGAAGTTGTACGAGCAAATATTGATGAGGTATTTACAACCATTCATCTATTTATGTTCCTATTTTTGTGACAGCTATAAATTTTTCTTTTTTATGGCAAATGATTTAGGATTCCTTTTGTAATAAGTATTTTATTAAAAAAAAAAAAACATTAACAGTAAAATATTGCTTGTTGCACAGAAACCAGTTATAAAATAAATGCTTTATTTTTTTTTATTTTTTTATATGTATTTTAGAGGAAAAAAGCAACTAACATCTATATATTAATACACATGCTTGATCAAGAGGTAAACAGAGAGAGAGAAAGAAAAAGACAGTGCAATATAGAGGGATTGGAGAAGCAAACTGTAAGAATGTTTGTAGTGAGAGGTCAAATCATGTTTCATGATCTAAAGTCCTGTTGAGGACACAGTTATCTTTGAACTGCAAATGGCCTTTTGGAATTAAAATCTTTCTTTTTTTTTTTTGGTCTCTCAGGCTCCTCCAGCTGCTGTAGTAGACATTTGCTTGCTTGAAACTATCTAATATATGGCATCATTTCTACAACTGAGGTTAACCTAAAATATGGGCTCAAATGATAATGAACAGGAGTTCTCTAGATGACTCCTTCAACTTGGAAATGACACTCTCTCCAGCAATCTTAACAAGGTTCCCTACTGATATTCCTACAGAATGTGTTTTTTTTTTTTTTTTTTTTTGAATGGCTCGTTAGATGAATGTTCACCCAAAGAAATAGAATAAAGAGTTATATTATTACCTAAAAATGTTGAATGCCTAATTATAAGTGAAGAAATTCTTAAAAAACTTCCAGAAGAAACCAAAACATATATGAGCACAGATTTTATGTCTTGTGCTGAACAGTTGTAGACTATGTAGGGTGTCAGCTTGCCCAATGACAAGTGGGCCACCTCTATCGAATAAAAATGCATAAAGAAATAAACATAGACAAATGTTGTTGTAATAAAACCTAAGAACTTGATATCTGGACATCATCAGTTACTTAAGTCCAATGTGAGAAGACATTTTCAAAGCTAAAGATCATAAAGACACTGTTAAGAAATTTGCTATCTGAAGAGAATTGGGAATCATATGTTGAAAAGGAATTGTTAGATGAACTGGATGCAGAACCAATTGTTGTGCTTTTGAACTGTAACTGTAAATTATACAGCAAACTATTTAAAAATATCAATCAATTACTTAAAATTAAAAAAATTATTTACAACATTCTGTATTTATATTTGGTATCTACTGCCAGTAATATGTACATTGTACATGTACACTATAATTACTTAGAAATACACTTTTTTTTTCAAAAACATTTTAATTGTCTCTGTTTTCCCATATGTATTTTTTGAAAATTTTATTTATTCATTATGAAAATTAAATGATAGCATTGTAGTTGTGGGTGGCCACCCTTTGTCTCCTGGCAACCAATATTTTTAGACCCTGTCTGCCACCAATTGTGAAGAAACTCAGAACTATCCTATGGTGTTTATAAACACACCTACAACTTTTAGCATGCCTGCCCATCAACTTGAAAATAGGTGCCATCTTGATACTATTGCTCAATCGCTCAAGAGTTGTGCAACAGAACACATGCTACAACATACTTAATTGGGAAGTGTTAAGGAAAGATTTTGGGAAAAAATATCTCTTGTGTAAAATATAAATTGTTATTTTCACCATATCCAATTCACTGCCTGTCATACTTGAATTTACTGATACATAGAAAAATAATTATGTAAATAAATATGTAATTTGCTTGATTTTAAATTTATGGAAAGACTTACAACTTATTATTAGAAAAGATTAAATCTAAATCAAAACCTTGTATGGCCAATCAGTTACTTAAATATGCATTAAAAGGTGACTGAGGTTTGTTTATTAAAAATGATGAATTAACAGAAAATCTTTCTTGATTAAAAAGAAAGTACAACAAAATCAATTCACATGATTCTGTGATTAATTATTCTTCATTTGTTTATATTCTTGTTTTTGTTGGTACCTGATCTGTTCTTTTTCTTCTCCCCAGGCTATAATTCGATTTGAAGAATCTATTGACTCCCAACAAGAATGGTGCCAGTTTCACCATTTGTGCTATTGGGAACTAATGTGGTGCCACTGGTAAGTTTTGCCTTCTCATGTCTGATCAGTTCAATTTAAGAATTTAAGAAGTTGTTTAGATAATTTAATGAGTTTTAGAATTTAGCAACTTCTTTAATAGTTTGATTATGCATTGCATAAAATGTACATTTCATTTGACATTTTGTATTTTGTAGTTTATTGGATCAATCAGTATTTTTAACAGATCTGACATTACTGATGAAATGAACTTGACAAATGACAAACTGCTTTATCATTATACACCATAAATACATGTCAAAATCTTTAATCTGTTAAAGATCTAATTTTAAATGGGTAGCTATAAGAAGGCAGATGGTTATCAATACAAAAACATTTAGAAATAATAAAATGTGAAAAAAGTATGGAAATATTTGTATAGCAGTTCTGTAGTTCATAGTGTTTCATAAACATAAAATTTCTAAAACTAATAATCTGCTATTCAATATATAAAGCTTTTGTTACGATTTTCATGGATATCTACTATTGTGATTCAGTGATGTGCTTTTGGGAATGACACTTTTTATTTTACTTTTGTTAAATGAACAGTTTACTTTCATATTAAGTTTCAATTTGCACAAACTTACAAAATATTTTGCAGCTACAAGAATGATTGGCTGATTGCGATGAAGTTTGCTGAGAAGCTTTGCCGAGAAAGTCGCTGGAGTAAAGCAACTTACACTTACCAAAAAGCTTCATTTCTGATGATGTGTGAAAATCCTACAGAGGAAACAGATGTCCACCTTAAATATCTTTTTGGGTTAATATTAACATTTTTATTATTTCCTTTTATTGATTTATCTTTTTCTTTATTCTGCTCTCTCTTGAGATATATAGTGTGTGTCTGTGTGTGTACAAACACACAATGTGGGGTTAAAATCTGGCCAAACATTAGGGAATCCTTTGTTTTCAACACACTTTTGTGTTTGTAGGATGTATAATAGTATCTGAAACAAGTGATGAGACAATGTTTATGTTTATATATATATATATATATATATATATATATATATATATTATAAATTTACTAATTTGAAACTATGGTTCCATCACTACACAGAAAATACCATGTTTTAAAAACAGAAACTAAAAACTTCAAATTTAATTATAGAATTAAATTAAAATCCCTAGTACGGTTTTATTTTCAAGTGAATTTTGGAATAACTTATTTTGAAATTTACTGAGTTTTATAAGCACATACATTCATAATATTAGTTTCTAAGGATGCGGGGGGAAATTCAATCGTTTTGACAAGGGGTGGTAGGGTATTCATTTTCACTGACAACTATTGTATCAAAATATGAGTTACTTTCGAAATGAGGTAAAAGGTAGGGTAGGGGGGTGCCTGTTCAGCAAATGATGACATCCGTTTTTCACATGTCATCTTTTTTTTTTTTTTTTTTTCAGTGACAAAAAGTTTTTCGGCACTTTTGTTTTGCCATTAAATTTGATTGTATACATAAAGATTTTTTCCAAAAGGTTGTTTGAATATGAGTACGTCGTATTAAAATACAATTTAAAAATATTATTCCTAATTCTAATTACTAATAGACTATACTTCTTTAAAAATAAATAAATGTATTAGAATTACTTTATTATTTAAAAATTATTAAAATATGAAATATAAATATGTAAATTTATAATATTTATGCTCTGCAGAATTGTATTCGGCACTGTTTTTTAAAAATAATTAATATGAACGCTGGATTATAAATCTTACTGTTCTTTCTCTTTATTTTAATATATATATGAAGTTTCTTTTGTGTGTGTGTGTGTGTGTAACCACTGAGTGGCAGTGTGTATAATTTTGACATGAGATACACAGAAGTCATGACCCCATTCACGTTCACATGTAAATAGCTATTGTGCTGACAAACTACAAACCAATCCCCTCAGTATCTGTCTGTATTTCTGAGATGAGGTATTATGTACACTATTTACATTATACAGACTATTGTCCTCCATTTTGTTGCCATATTTATCACAACATTTTGGCCGTTGTACGCTCTGGCCTTCTTCAAGTAGTTAAAATGTTGAACTGAACCCTTTATTTTGCTCACTGGGGTAGACTGTTCTAGTTCCATGTTTAATGGATGTCAGGTATCAGTTGTCGCCTGTTAATTCCCTTCTCCAAGTTCTCCACTGCCTTAACCAGGTATTGAACTCACACTCTTTGGGTCCTGTCACTGCATCTAACTTATGCCTTTATCCACTGTGTCATGTGTCCTTGAGGACAGTCTACCCCAGTGAGCAAAATAAAGGGTTCAGTTTGACATTCCAACCACCTGAAGAAGGCTGGAGTGTACAATGGCCGAAATATTGTGATAAATATGGCAACAAAGATGAGGACAATAGTCCGAATAATGTAAATAAAGCAATCCCCTTCTTTCTCTCTCTTTGCAAACTACAATCAAAGCAAAAGGAGTGATAGCAAGTAGCTATGAAAAGAAACAGATACACAACTGCAAAGAAAGAGAGAGAGAGGGGTGAATAGAAAGGGATAGAGAGAGGAGATAAATATATGCCAGACAAAACTTAGCCGAGATTTATATTTTTATTTCAGTTTGAATTAAACTTCACATCAAGTTATTTTTCTTCAAGGTGTCTTGAATTGTAGGATTGACTGTCACTAGTGATGTTCTAATTTCTCAGCAAATTTGACTCTCAAAAACACCCAAAATGTGTTACAAAAGTGTGCATACAAAAGGTATGTGTGCTTGCACACACACACACACACACACACACACACATTTATTTCTAAAGAAATAATGGATTTTATTAATCCAACATATTTTTATCACTTTAAATGTTACATTTAGTGGATACTCATATTTAAGTATATGCTTCATTTTTGTTTTTTTGTTTTCTATTTCAAAGCAGTATATCTGTTTTCATACAATGGCCTGAATATTCAAGAAATCTTATTAAAGAATATATGTGCCTTCTGGCAGGATTTGAACCTGAGACTCCCTTTGCAGGAGAAACTAATATTAGATCCTACATACTTTTAAGCAACTTGACCACAAAGAACGTCAAGTAAGGCAGTATAGAACCATGTTTAATTGACAGTGATCTTTGTGACCAAGTCAGTAAAGAGCATGTAGAATCTAACAATGGTTTCTCCTGTAAATGGGGATGCAAGTTTGAATCCTGGTGGAGTGCACATTTTTTCTTCAATAAAATTTCCCAAATATTCAGTCCAGGAGATGGAAATAAATATACTTTTTAAAAAATAAATGGAGTGTTTACTGTAAAATATGGATATTGACTAAAAATAGAATTTGAAGTGATAAAAATATATATATATATATATATATATATATATATATATTTACAGTTTTGATTGAAGATAAATAAAATATTTTTTTTCTTTAGGATTTTTTAGTTAATTTTTTGACATTTCAAAATATTACGGACCTTGTATCATGAATACACTCAATATTTTTTTCCATATAATTGTCAGCAATACCCAATAGGAAAAAGTGAACACTCAATCAGATTGTAAAATTTAGGGCAGATTTAAAGTATTCCTATTTCTATATTGTTTTATATTTGTTCCATGCACAAAATGAACATAAACATTGTTTTTTAAATTAAAATATTTTTATATTATTTGTTTTTGCTTGTAAATATTTTCTAAAATCTGACTGAACATACATTTATATAAAAATTTTAGAATCTATTGTTTCTGAAAAAACGGAAAATATATCTTCTGATTTGTTTTGAAAATTACTGGCAGTAATAATTTTAAGCAATTGATACATCAAAATATTTAGCATCCGTATATTTCTCAGATTCAGCAATAAATAGTTGGGCAGCGGGGAAATCACCAGAGCCAAGATAGCACTGTGAATGTTAATTTTTTGTATAACAATTGAGGGGCAATGTGTAAAATTTTGACATGAGATGCACAGAAATGAAGACCTCATTCACGTCCACACACAAAAAGCTACCATGCTGACAAAAAGACCCCCCTCAAACAATGGTGACACAATTCACAGTAAGAACTAAATTCTAACTAATTTTTTTTATTTTTTTTTTTTGTGTGTAACAATCCCCTTTACTCTGAAACTACAGATTGAATATGGACTGTCAAGGATTACTCAGACCTTCCAAAGTTTACACAAAAAATTTTGTGCTTTGGGAATGTTTGCAGTAAAAAAAAATTTTGGTTGTAAATATGTAACATTTATGAGGATAAAATACAGATATCTTTGCTGTGGTGTTTATAAACTGTACACTATTCAATTATTAATGTTAACAACAAAATATTTTAAATTACAAAATTGGATTAAATGAAAATTACAATATAATATATATTACTTATAATACTTTCTTTCTTGCTGTCAATTTTGGTGGCACGGGTATACTAGTGTGTGTGTGTGTGTGTGTGTTTAAAATTAGCTATCTTTATGAGGGAAGAGTGCTGAATATCAGAGTTATTGTTTGTAGATATAGATAGTTGCTTCAGGCATGAAACTAGCAGTCACCATGTAGCATTGATTTCTATATACACACATACACCATGTTTAATGGCTACATGTGTTTGAGTAGACATCCCTGTTTTTTAAACAGATTAAAACTTCCATTAATTGCTTAAAAATTACTTATATTTTGAGTATGAAAAAAAAGATAGCTAACAGATATCAACTTTGAAAGGCTCCAACAAGAAATTGCTGTGATGGACTCTTGTAGTTTTAAGAATGAGAGTGAGTCACAATATTTCCCCATTAGTCTCTTCAGTGCCAATAGCAAATACTTTGAGTCTATTATCAACAAAACTTTATTGATCACCTCAACAAAAACGACCTCCTGAATGACAAACAATATGTTTTGCTCCTTTAGATCCACTATTGATATTTTAACAAGATCAGTAAAGCACTTGATAATAACATCTTCATGAGGGTGATTGATTTAGATATCACAAAATCTTTTGACAAGGTGCTCTATCTTATCACAAGTTAGGCTAAGAAGTCATATTAGAGATATCAAATGTAAATGTTACTTTTAAGAGGGGAATTGATTGGTACCACCAGGGATGGGAAGGTACATAATATCAATCATGAAAAGATGGGATAAATATCCAAAATATGTTTTTTACCAGTGTAATAAAATTTTTAAAAGCCTTTCTGGTTTTAAGAGTCATTGCAGAGTCCATGGACAGACATCTGCAGCAGATGCATAGTTATAATATAAAAAATGTGTATCAAAGTCAAAAGTAGATAATACTTAAAAAAAAATAGATTTGAGAGAATTTTAACAACATTTTACTTTTATTTGAAAATAAGGACTAAACTTAAAAAATGTATTGTAATTAATTTCAAATATGTGAGGCCTGAGTAAGCAATACTCCTTTTACTCTTGGGGTTTCCTTTCTGCCATCATCTTAATATTTTCTGTTTTTATTTTGATGAGATTTAATGTAATTTTTAAAAATTTATATTTAGTCTTCTGACATTTACAAATGATATCACAAACATGTAAGAACTATATTAATTGTAGAATAATATTGTACATATTTAATTTTTATCTCATTTTAACGTCATTTTATGTTCTCATTGTAGAGAAGTGCCAAAGTTAAAACAGAGAATCGCAGGAAAATCGGTCCCAATTGAGAAATTTGCTGTATGTAAAGCCAAAAGATATTCAACCCAAGGTGGACGATTAACTCTTCCAGGACTTGTAAGTAATTTTATATTTACTGGCTGTCTATTAGAAAATCATAATGTCACTTTCTTCACCAAAGAGTTTTTCAAATAAAACTAAATATACACTTCACTTTCACCAATGTAATTTTTGCATTTTCTTATTGAGGCCAAATTTAGCAACAACAATTCTAAATTTTATTATAACAAGATGAGGGGGAGGTGCTTGGTATTTTGTATCTACTTTTGTTTTTCTCCTTTAAAAGATATTTATGGTAATTCATTCCATTTCTTGTAACCACATTCTAACAGATAAGCATTTAATATTGAAAATTTATAGAAAAATTAGCAAAGAATGAATGAATTAAACATGACACACATCTAAATGGTAAAATATTGTCTTTTAGAAATCTAATACTAAATATATTTAAATGGTAACTTGAAAATATAATCAAAGTTTTAAATTATTCTGACTTAAGTGGAAGAGATGAATAAAGAATAGAATAATGTATATTTCTGGATAAGGAATGATCAACAACATTTATTTACCTGTAATAAAATAAAATGGTTTCCTTTGTTGGAAAACTGTTTGAAAAACACTTGAAGATTCTTGAATCTCTTTTTATTTTTAAATGATAACTGTCTTTGCAAGCAAAAGGATTTTCTTTATTACGTAAAATTACCTGACATAACTTATATTGGCCTTCTATTTGTCTCATGTTTTTTGTAAGATGACATATAAAGACACCTTTTAAAATATCTTACTACGCTTTTATTGGTGTTCAGGATTCGTACAAGCCCTGGAAACCTTAAAAATTCTGGAAAATCAATACGACCTTACACAACAATTGGCTTTCTTGATTTGACTCAAGAGACACTTTCCCAGGGAAATTTTTGCAACTTACATTATGGTGACAATTCGTTCAGCCAAAGGTCAGGATTCTGCAGGTGTTCAATTTGTTTTCCATTCCAACATCTGGCAAAATGAATTTAGTTTAACCCAATTATTCTCATGTCAGATCCAGGCATTGTTTGCTGAAGATTGTCGCTATTTGGCCTGTTCACACAAACTAAGCATTGCTTTTAGCTGGTCATCTGGTTTATTGTATAAATCTTGATTCTCTGGGAACAATTTTGATATTTTTTAACCCTTTTCATGCTAAGTTATTCATCATTATCTCATTTTCGTTGATATTCCAAGTCGTTATTATTATTATTATTATTATTATTAATTACCAGCAACCCAAATAGTGTTACAATTCTCCCTTACTCTACCTGTCATTTACCTGTAAATGGCATCTCAAATTCCCAAATCTACTAATACACTATTTTGCATGCATATTAGTTTTGCAGTAGTAATAAGGAAAATGGTTAATTTTTCATGCAGAATCTATAAATATCCTCCCCTCTTCCTCCTTACATGCAATATGTAATGTTTATAAAGTCCTCTTTTTCTATTTGACATGCAATATAAACATCCTCCTTGTTATTTTGTTTACATGCAATAAGTAATGTTAATTAAAGTCCTTCCTGTGGGGTGTATGTGAATATATATATATATATATATATATATATATATATATATATATATATATGGGTGGGTGTCTGTCTTTTTATGGTTTGTTCTTCTTGGTTACCATTCTTCTCTCCACAGTTGGAAGTTTGGGTTCTTCCTTAACAGGTGTCAGCTCCTCTTTGATTTCTACAGTCAATTTTAATTCAGTCTCTTCATCTTTATTCTATCCACTCTGGTATGGATCGCTGAACAGTATCCCCACTTCAAGTTGTTGCATACTCGGCTAAACACCTTTAATCCATTTCTCTCTATACTTTTTAATTTTCCATATTGCTGCTACTATTGCAGCAATGATTAATAAAGTACTTATCACCATGGACCAGTTTATCATGATCCTTTTATTACCCCACCCCCCAATTGTTACCTACCTTTCCTAAAATATTTAATCTGTCTTTTAACTGATTCATGTTAATCCTTTCTATTGGTTTCAATAACTCTGCCATCTTTTCTAGTGTAACTCTAGAGAATTCATTCATTATCGGCTCCCATAATTCTGTGCAGTTATTTAAGCTTTTGTCAACTATCCCTATTGAGTCTTTTTCTTCATATTTCTCTTTGGCCTGGTAATATTGGGGGTAGGGATATGGATATGCCAAATGCTGAACACCCCAGGGGGAGTTTAATTAGGGTCAAGGGCGGTTTCACTCTCAGCGTCCCATTGAATTCCCCTCCACACACCCTTGACAGATCGATTGGTTTTTGTGCGGCCACTACTCAGACTCCATCAAATACACTGATAGCTTGTGGCAACACACTGTTTGCTAATATCTTTACTTGGTAATTTCTCTTAATCCCTCTCTATATTGTCCTTAAATAGTTTGAGTATACACAACCTGTGACCATGTGTTACATATATAGGACTTAATGAGGTACATGTTCCCAGAATATCATCTCTACACTTCATGGCTTCCTCTACTGTCAGCCTTCAGTAGGTCGATTGGTTCAGACAGGTGTGTGGTGCTAAGGTTGTGTTTCACCAATACTACCACCGAACAAACACAGGCCCATGTGCAGATCAACAACAGCCCCAATGAGCAAATTCCTTTGTCCTCAGTGACTTGCTAACCACATCTCCATCTTCTCCAACCAATCCCACTGTTAATTTCTGGTGAGGGTTTTGAACAAGCCCAACGTCCATTTGTGCTGACACTGAACCCGTTTATCCCAACATTCACTGCTATATTGAAATTCGGGGTTCACTGCTCCTCTCAATCTCTTCTTAAGGGGTAATCCAGATTCATTCTCTAGCCTTTCTTCATTTCTCTACCTTTCTCAGAGTTGAGAGAGAGGCATCTCATCTTTCTCCTCCCACTTACTTTACTCCTCCTTTGGATTGAAAGGTTTCAAGCCATAAACCTGGACTTCATCACTGAGGCTCTTTGTTTTTTATTACCTTATGAGGTTGTTGGGGTGGGGTGGTGACATACTGTGGCTCCTCACGCAATGACACAGACGACAATTGAACACCGCTGGCTGGATGGGTTCCGTGATGGCACCTGAGTCACCCCCACCCAGATGGCTATGTCTAGTTTCTACTGGTTGATGATTTTATCTCCTTTTTTACTTCCTCCCCAGAATCTTCATCTGTCTCCATCTCTTCTGGATCCACAAGGGTTGTGCCTCTGGAGTTGGGAGAGAGAGATATTTCATTCTCTTTTTCTTAATCACTCAGCTCCTCTCCATTTTTGGGAAGTTTCAAGCCAAAACCCTGGATTTCTTCACAGGGGATGTTACTTCATTCTTTTTCTTGACTTTGTCCTCTACTTCTTTCTTCACTGAATTTAACCATTTTACGGATCTTAATGGTAGAGCCCTTCCTACCTCTTCCTCACTTCTTTACCTTAATTGTCTTGGTGGCTAACAGGTATCACCTCTGCTGCATCCACCATAGACTAACACACAAAGCCACTTCACCTTCTTCAGGGCTATATTCCTCTACCAGGGTCAGTTGGAACACTCCTTCTACTCCTTCCCTTGATACCATCCTACCCCTACCTGATACAGCTGTCCTTCTGACAACAATGACTCTTCATCATCACTGCAGTGTGGGGGTGCATGGCTGTCTTATTCTATACTAGAGTGCACACAGGCAGCTCTCCTGAGGTTTACCCTGCCTATTTCTATAGGGGCAGTTGGTGGCAAAATGGCCAACCCAGCCACATGCCCAACATCGCATCTTTCTCCTGTAGGGTCAATTTCTCTTTAGGTGTTGTGGGGTCGTTACAGGACCAGCACCTTCTTTCAGAGCAGTTGGCAGCATTATCGCCTTACTGCTCCCTTTAACAGGGCCAACCACCCACTTACTTTGGTCCTTTGATGTTCCACTGGTTCTGTTTTCCAGGGGTGGGTTCTTGGTTCTTTCTTTATCTCACACCATCTCACCTTGTGTCCACGACAACCGCAAGTGGTGCATCTCGGATTGCCGTAATTCGGGGGTAATCCCCATCCTGTTGGACCATCCACTGCCCTATCTGCTTCATGATGACAAGTCCAACATGTCAGCTTCAACTGGCCTGGTGTTGGTTTGTAAAAAACCAACATCCACGTCCTATTGCGAACATCTTCCCATTCCTCTGATTCAACCTCCACCTGCCTGTCTACCTCCTGACTCTGTCCCTCTACTTGTATTCTCTTTTTGGCCTTTTTCCAAATCCCTTCGCTCTCTAGTCAGGGCCACCACCGCTGATAATTTTAAGGGTCCCTCTTTCAGGACATTGTGGCTCCTCACTGAGTGCCTCCACATACAAATCAGTCAATTGGGAAGACTGTATTCTTCAATCCTCTTCAATCCTGACCTGCCTTACCCCACGTTGTGATTGATTTGATTATAAGGAGGCCAAGATTGATTTGTCACAGGTATCTTCATGTTGGGCTGGTCCAAGTCAAGCAAAGTCGTACAATAAAATTGGAGGAAAATGGCACTCGAAATATATATAAAAAATAATTACTATTTTTATATTGAATACTGCATACAATTGTTCATTAATAGTTGTGTTCACATATAAGTGTTTTTTGATTCAACCTGTTCCTAAATCAGATACAACACTTGGGTAAGCTGGGAAGTTTTGGCTTGCAGAGTTAGCAAAATTTGTTTTACTGATTTGGTAAGTTTGGCTCAATGTTGAAGTCGGAGGTTCTTGTGTTTGACATGAGTTGTGGAATCACTCATCGACCTCCACCATTTCCCTTCTGAGCTCTCAACTGTCAAGTCTCAACTCTTAGCTTTCAACTGTCTGAATGGCTTTAGCGCATTCATTTTTATGAACTCCAACTAGAAACCAGTGTGAGGCAAGATGTTGGTTGGGTTTTGGTGAATCCCCTGATTTCCAACAAAAGTCCATTGTTTTTGGTCCTGAGAAATTAAATTACTTCATAATTTTGGGGAATTCTCCTTCTCTCATGGGAAATAGGTGCAGGCACCGCTCCACCTGGTTACTTCTACTTTCTCTTATTAACATCTCCCACCAGTGCTTTCCAGTGGGCCTGGGCATCTCCTTCAACCTCCTTCATGTCTTGTCTGTGCCTGCTTCAGTGGGTGCAAGCAGCCCCTCATCCTTCCTTGATTGCTCTTCTGTGCCTGTCACCTCCAGCATTTGGTTGGAGATTAAAAAAAATTATGGTTCCAAATGCTATTATCTCATAAGTGAATTGACACAACAATTGACTTTCTCACCTTTGACCCAAGAGACACTTTCCCAGGGAAATTTTTGCAACTTACATTATGGTGACAATCCATTCAGCCAAAGGTCAGGATTCTGCAGATGTTCAATTTTTCCATTCCAACATCTGGCAAAATGAATTCATTTAGTTTAACTCAATTCTTCTTGTCAGATCCAGGTATTGTTTGCTGAAGATTGTCAACACTTGATCTGTTCACACAAACTGAGCATTGCTTTTAGCTGGTCATATAGTCTATTGTATAAATATCAATTCTCTGGGAACCGTTTATTATCGGTCTATCATTCTTGATATTTTTTTAACCCTTTTCATGCTAAGTTATTCATCATTATCTCGTTTTCATTGATATTCCAAGTCATTATTGTTATTATTAATTACCAGCAATACAAACAGTGTTGTATCTCATCAAGAAAGAAATTTATACTGACAATATGAAACAGCAGGCTCTGGTTGCACAACACATTATCACAGATTATTCGACCACAATTAGAGGTGCTGGGAATGTTCCTATGACTAAGGCTCTTCTTTGCAGTGCTTCCAATGCTAGAACAGCATAAGAACCATACAACAGCATACCTTGAGGCTGAGATAAATAAAAGGCAGGAAGAAGCAGCAGCTAGACAAAAATGGAAATCCATGTTTATGGAAATTGAATAACTGAAAACCAAAAAACACAAGCTTGAAAGTTGCACACAAGATTTTCTCAAGTCAGCTGACAATTTTGAGAAAAGCTGAGCAGACTGAGAACTTCACACTTATGCCATGTGAAGATCAGCAAAAGTCCATTGAGATATCAAAATTGGAAGAGGATCTGAATGCTAAACTAGATGTTTTGTGCCATGTGCAATGAAAGCCATGTTTAGTCTAGATAGCTAAAATGTGTAGTCTTTTGTGAAAATCTCTATTAAAACCATTATACTTCACATGACATGTGCAGCTGTCAAGAATTTTGTGATATTCACAAACCATGTTTAGTCTAGATAGCTAAAATGTGTAGCAGTAAGAATTAAAGAGTGTAATTCAAAATTTCCAAGTTTAGTAGAACTCCAAAATGCTGTACAAAATGTGTAACATAACCAAGTCTGCATTCAGTTGTGTTTAATCCTTCAACACACAGATTTCTTCACTGCTTCAACTGATCCATGTAGAATTAATTATTAGAACCAGCTGTAACTTCTTTGAACATTTCATCAATCAAATTATTGAAAGAAAAATCACAAAGTTTGTGTTTTTGAAAATGATTACCATTCACTGTGTGTGTGCGCTTGCGTGTGTGTTCCCACATGTCAGTTTTAGTCCTTGAAGCTTCTTAACATAGTCCTGGAATTTTTTTATACAGATCTGTGGGAACTCTGGTTGTTTCTCTTTTATAAAATAATTTAAATTTAACAGCAATTCTCTAATGGTTGATTGAAAAGCTGTTTGCTTAAGAGGACTTACACCACCTTTTTCTTTTTGCTTTGCAACTATTTTCAACATGTCTCCAATTTTTCCTTCTTTTGCTTAAGTTTTATTCCTCAAGAAATCATTTAAAACTGTCTTAATTTACTTTTCCTTTTTTTTTTTTTTTTTTTTTTTCCAGGAACTGCTATATGTCTGGAATGGATTTGCCATCATTGGTAAAAACAAATCTCTTTTGGAACCCTTTTTGAATCTGGTGGAATCAACTATTAATAATATTGTGGCAAATTCAGACAATAAAGGTACAGCAGAAAAAATATTGTAGCAAGTTGTAAATTATTTTTACTTGGTATCTTTTAATACGTTTATTTCAAGATCTTTAATAGGATAAAATAATAAAAATTATTTCCATATAACACCTTTTGTCACTGCCTACACCCAGTACTATAACCACATTTTAGTGGTCTGGTCTTCAGGATCTTAGATCAATGTTTTGACCATGGGGCTAACTGTGCTAGTCATTGTTGACACTAATCCAAGCTGTTTGTTGGTTGTTGGTGCTTTGATCTTCACCAACCCTGCCCAGACTGTGTTCTTGATCTCAGAGCAGTGGAAAATTTAAGGTTGTAGTATTGCAGTGCTGGTTCAAACTGTGGCGAGTGCTATATTAAGGAACAAAAATATCTTCACAACAAAAAATAAAACAAGAGATTCATGGAGTTAATCTTCAATTGGTTTATATAGCTCTTGGCACAACAAAAATTAATGCTTCCCACATCAGTCTCTATAGTGACACTGGGACTTGTCCAAACTTCTAGAGTGGTTGCATTCAAAGTCTTGGAATCAAAAAATCTGGCGGTAGCTGATGGGGATTTCAGAGACACTCAATGTGGGATCTCAGCCCAAAGTCTCTGAGCTCTCCAAAGTCATCTGCTTATATGCACTTCAGACCAAAACTGGCATGGGGCCAAAAGAGATTCGGTGATTCCCCAATTTTCATTAATTCCAATAAAGATTTTCTTTGTTCCCTATTTCTGCTTTCTTAATCAAATTTCCAAATTTGGAGAATTATTCACCTGCCTTGGCAATAGTCACAGGGATTGCTTCTCCATTAACTCCAACCTACTTCACTTCTTGGTATTCTAATTCTGCCCAGGGCTGACATAACTAACTTTGTGACAAATCTAATTTTTAAAGTGTGTAGGGCATTAGTTTATTCTCCTCATTAATTTCAATTCTATGACTCCTTTCCTGGACTCACTTGTCCAGTGAAAAACACAAACCAAATCACCTTCTCATTTTAACCTTCTGAGTAATAGATAAAAATTATTTCCCAATTTATTTTTGTCAATGAAAATAAATTTGTTTGTCTAAATTCTCAACACACGTTATTTTCCATTCTTGACCTGGTTGCCATCTTAGCTAAAACATAAACCAGATTACCTGCCTGTTACAACAAATCAATTTTTATCATAACCTGTGTAGTGAGTTCATTCTCTGTTTTCATTTCTCAATTCATTTTCACTAATGAAAATATAATTCCTGTCTGCTTCTTTTGTCACCAATGACATGTGTTTCTCTAATTTCCCAAGAAAGAGATAAAGCCATTTTCTGATTTGCTTTACCCACATGCCAGATTTTCAATAGATAAAAAAAGTAAACTCTCTGTGCATCGTTTCAATTCATAGGGGCGAGGCAACCCAGATGGCCCTTTCTTCAATTCCACATTACCAAGGAAAATGTCTTCTATTCTCTATTTCTGTCTCTCTATCTTCTAGTTTATATTTCATTTTAGGTTAAACACTTTTTCTGCTTAGAACCACTGCACAGCCTCAGTGTCATATTCAGCCAATGATTCATGTGTATTAAAATACTGTAACCATTTTTACGCTTACAATTTTATTACTAATTTTATTGTTACTTTTTGTTTTTAATAATAATGAAAATGCTTCATTTTAAAAATAAATCCATCAGTAGCAAATCTCCATATATTTTGTATTTTCTAGATCATATATTGTTATATCTTAAAATATTATGTTGAGTCATAAATAATTTGTTTTTTAGTAGGGATCAATTTTATTCTTAAAAAAATTGTCCAATTATATTTTATTCAATTATATACTGACCATAATTTACAATGACTTGTTGCCACTTATCAAGCAGTGTGACAGTATTATTTGGACACCCATATAGAAGAGGAAAGTGATTTTTATTTTCATCTTAATGGTTTTTGTTTTGTGACCAATAGATGGGATCAAATCTTCTAAGCAACATCTACTTGACTGAAAGGACATGTTACAGCTACTGTATAAATGTACATTTAGTGTTTCATCATATTTTAAGAACTCTAAACCCTGACAATCACATGACACACAATATTACATTCTTCCATTGAGCTCAGCTTTTGGAGTCACTTGTTGAGATTTATCCTTGTCAATTCACTGGCTTTTGCTTTGAATATTCACATATGTTATCCCATTTTTCATCATGTCATGATATATTTAAGAAACAGTTAAAATGATACATTCATCATTACAATTGGTTCCCCAAAGTGGAAATTATTTCTGACTCAATCTAATAAAATGTTTTCATGACATCTTGTTTGTTTAAATGTACTTACATCTATGCATTAATAAAACTGATTAGATGACAAAGGCACATTCTCTCATATCATGAGCTGAATGTGATTAAAATTTCAAACTGTAGATTTGGGCCCAATTAATATTTTGTTTGAATTATAACTTCTGTGAAGATAAATGTTAATGAAATATAATTACTTTTGTTTGCACACTCACTAACAGCATCTATCCAAAAATTTTCAATTCTAACAAAATATTGTATCTATTTGCAGAGAGCTATCCTTACTACCATGATGATTACAGTTTAGCTTTATTATTAAAAGGTGTTTGTCTCAAACATTGGGGACAACTTTTCCAGGCAGAGCAATGCTTCTTAGAAGTGATTGGATAGTAAGTAAATATTTGGAATTAATTTTGTCAGACAAACATTGTCTACTTTGGTGACTTTGCAAATAATCTTATGTGATGTAAAACAGTTTTTATATATTTTTATTAAACAATTTGTAACAATTATTTAATAATTTTTAAATTTATATATAGATGTATTTAAAAACACTACAAGTCTGTTAAATCATTAAATAATTTATCTGCTTTTTATAAAACAAAGCAAAAGGTTGATCTTGATTGTGTAACTATCAATTGTGCTTTTTATAAGATAATTTCAATTTCAGTCTGAATTGAAAACCTTTGACATTTTTTGAAGACTAAAAGATTAAATTCAAATTAACTGGTTGAAAATCTCTCAGACTTCTATCAATAATTACTATTTTATAATGATAAACTGTTTAACATCGCAATGTTTGTTCTTTTTAAAGTTTTTACTTTGTAGGAAACTTTTTACTTTTGCATAATAACCTGTTATGTGAGATGCTCTGAACATAATGCCTCCTATTTAATTCTAGCGGGACTATAACAGATTCATGAAACACAATCGCAACATTGGATAATGCGAGTACTCAGTTACAAAACTATTTTTTCCACAATGTCGCCACCTTGGGCACTCTTCATTTCATGAGTTGATAGATGCACAGGCTCACCCAGAATGTGGTTTGTCGCACATTGTCGTTGTCACTGCTGTAATGCATTACCCACTGCCTAACTGTACTCATATCTACTGTTTGGTCTCCATAAGCATCAATGATTGTTAATTTCTTCTGCACGGAGGAATTTAATGACACATTTTGGCTTTGTATGTATTTTTATGTCAGATGCCATTTTACCAGACTGCATTATTTGATAAGGCAAAAGAATGTATAGGATAGTGATGGCAAGTTCTAAAGTCATACCACCAGCATTTGTCTCTGATATTGTCGGCTAGTATGATTAAATAGGAGGCATTACTTTCAGAGTGACCCTCAAAGAATTAGAGCTTTTATACTGCATCACATTTGTTTTAATGTATAGGAATGATAAAGAATTCATTTAAATGCTATGTGTGGTCAGAGGTTCACTTACCTTATAAAAACAATTCAAACCATTTCACATCTTGTGTAACTGTTTTATAGTTAGTCTACATGAAAATAACTCAATTCACATTCAACATTTGACACAAATAATCATTTCATATTTCAGTTATTAATTCCATTTCGTAAGAGGCTAATTAGTATTTATATTTCCTGTATTACTTATTTTTAAACAAAAATTAAGCTTCTTATTTGCAATATTTTTTAAGAACACAAAATGGCTTGAGATTTATTTTTCAGTAGTTGCTCATTTTACCAAGCTTAGTTTAAGCTAAGTAAAGCAGTAATAATTAAACACTAATCAGTTACCATTTTTAACTTTGCATAACGCTGCATTAATTAATGTGACAAGATAACAAAACCACTCACGTCAGATTTTACAAGCTAAATGATAGTAAATGCTTGTAGTTAAATTGACCATTTGGTGGTGTAATCCACTTCAAGTAAGACTTCCTCATACCAACTACACTGATGCCAATCCATAAAGAATTGGTTGACATGGACTCAGCTGGAAGAAGAGAAAAGTGAAGAAGCTAAGGATGTGGTTGGGTTGTGAGGTGTGTATGTGGAGTAGTGTATCCTTTTTCAGTTGAAAAAGGAATACACTGGAATTCTTTGGAAAATAAATAGAAATGATTCAAAATTTTCCAGACCCCATAATTCAGAAAGCAAATAGGAATGCTGAATTTTTAGAGATAAGAAATGCAGGTTTTAGAAAAATAACAAAGGTGTCAAGCCTGATAGAATGTAAACAAAAGTTCAGAAAAATAATCAAAATGCTAAAGCAGATGAGTTTAGAATAATAGCAAAATGTCTGAGCATTGAAAAAAAGAAAAATTTAATTATTAGATCTTTATGAAATTAAACAATTGACCCCAGATATTTTGTCAGAAGTCAGAGAGTGGATATTTGATTCTGCTTTATGAAAAATATGCAATTTGAATTCATGAATTCTCCATACTGAGAAACTGACTAGCTTAAATCTAGTATACAACTAAATGTGATGTAGTTAGGAAGCAGAGGCATAAGACAAATTTTATTCTTGCTTCAAACAAGCCACATTTCTCCCACTATCTTTGCTATATCTACCAGATTACAAAAGAGGTGTACATTGTATTTAAAATAAAATATTGTAGTAACATAAAAGTACTTCTCTTTGTTATCCTTTTAAAGAGGAAGAAGTATTAAAACTGACTACTATGATCTCTTGTTTCATGTAAACTCTGCAGTTGTCTTCACAAAATTAGTAGGCTAAAAAAATTGAATAGAAGTGGTGGGGGTGAGATCTAGTTGGATCCCACAATCTTTTGTTTTTATGCTGCTCTCATTTTTTTTTTGGTCCACTTATTTTTTATCATTATGATTGCAGTGAAAAGAAAGTAAAGATCGACACTTATCTGATCCCTTATGCTCACCTAGAGTTGGCGTTACTCTACCTTCAGCAACAAAACACAAGCAATGTCAAAAAGTATTTAGAAAAAGCAAAGTAAGTATATTTGTTTTTGATTTTTGTAGATTCCAAGACTGAAGACAATTCCAGAGATTTAGATTGGAACTGTTTCAGTATTAAGTGGCTGTGAGATTCACTTATCTTAATTTATATCAATGTATCAATTATAGACTATATATTCAGTAAAATTAAAAAATATATGAAAAACAATAAATTGAACATCTATCATTTTTATCTCTGTTAGTGATAATTTAAAATAAACATTTCTATAAAATTTCGTATACCTGAGATAGATAGTAAATTTTTTACTTCACCCTAATTTGGATTTTTATGTAAAATGTTTTCTTTCTTGTTTACTTTTTCATGTAGGAAAAAATGCCAATTTTCCAATTGCAAAATTTAAAAAAATTTTTTTTAATAAACCAGAAATTGAAGATATTCCAAATAAAAGTAGCTCTTTAGAAAACTGACAATGTTATATTGAAAACTTTAAACTAACAAATATATAGAATGTCACACCAGGAAGACATTTCCAATGTTTCATAAATGAAAGTTTATTGTCAAAAAATTATTAATCTTTTCTATTGCTGAGCCAATGTTTCTTTCTCTTGTATTGCAGGAAACATTACAAAGGTTACATGTTGGAATCTCGACTTCATTTCCGTATACATGCAGTCAAGATGCAGATGCTAGGACAGCTAAACAGTGATAGCGAAAATAGCAGTGCTCCACAGACACCTGGTGCCAACAACTTTGCGGACATTCCAGATACAATACCACAGGATACCTCTCATAGTTAATGATCTTCAAATAATTGTTACTTTTTATCTATTATCTCAAATGTTTGTAAATAGTTAATGTATAGTTGCTCAGATCCAGTTCCTCCTTGCACTTCCTATGATTTCTTCAAAGTATATACCTTATCTGTCCAAGGTTTTATGTGACTACATAAGAGGTTCTTAGCCAAACAAGGTTTTTTGCTATCTTTCAACTTTAATCAAGAACCTCTAAACCTGTTTTCTTTTCTTTATATATGAGAAACAGCTTATAACTAAAAATATTATCCTTACATTGATTAGTTTTCTCTATTTCATTGATTTTCATTTTAATGTGGAACTTTGAAAATAACTTTTGTGCTTTATATTCCTGTTGTCTTCTATCAACTCTGTTCTATCACAAGCAAATTTTGAAAGATGGTTTCATCTTATTTATTACACGGATAATACAAATCTTTTTGTTTTCTACTTTAAACCACTTCAATTGATAAAGTGTTAAATTTTTTATAAAACCTGATTTCTTTTTTGTTTTAAAGAAAAGCAGAAGTTAAGATTTTGCATAAAAACTTGTGGAAGATGTGGATCTGTATTTTGGCGACAAGCAGGTTTTTTTTTTCTTACTGTCGGTATTGGAAAGTGCAGAGGAATTTCTATCAAGAGACAAGATCAAACCAGTAAGATGCAACAAAAGTAGCCATTTTCTATATTTCTGTTCAATTGTTATTAATATGCAAAACAGAAATGAAGGCTGAGAATGACAAGGGATTTCGTGATAGAGTTGAGTGTCATTATTTTGATTCAAAATTTGGAAGAATTGTGGTTATCTTGCACTTAGAATTGAGAAGTTTTAGTGACATACATTGACCTCAACTTCTCACCCTTTTTGAACTCATTGCTACATAACTAAGGGTTATGTCAATTCAATCTTTTAATAACGAGTAATAGAGATATAACTTGTCTGTGTAGGTAACAACAGCAGATACAGTAAAATAGAGAACATATCAACGAACTTCAAAAAATTTGTTTTCATACATTTTTAAATGTATTTTAAAAATTCTCTCTGCGGAATTGCAAATTGTTCAGTTTCAATGAGATTTCATTGCCTACAAAAGCAACCAATCCAGGATTTCTGTCCCCCTATTTCAAATTCAGTATAAATCTAAACTTATTTTTCTCTTCTATATCTTTGAAACAACATATTACATAAGCAAGTGAAAATATTTTATAACTTTCAAATTTATTATTAAATAGTAGATTAAAATAATGACTATTTAATTGAATTATTCTTATAACTTCATAACACAATTTCTTTTAGGTTCATGTCACAAATTTTCATATTTTACACTTCATATACAGATTTTTTTTAATTGTAATAAAAGCCATCTTGTTGTGGCAACATAAACATTTAAAATCTTTTCAATTAAAGATTTTTGTTCTCAGAAAGTCATCATGCTTTTACACCAATGTTTTAAAGAAATTGACACACCTGGATTCAGCCAAGTCTGTTGCCACAAGGCCATTTATAAAGTGAGCATTCTATTTTTTAGAATTATACTCTTACTCATTGATTAGAAACATTCAACTTTGAGGATTCTCAGGCATTTAGCGAAAATCTGCTGCCGCCTCTAATTCTCAAAATGTATATTTTGATTCTTTATATTTAGAATGCATTGTGTATAAAAAAAAAACAAAGAGAAATCTGATGGATTTATGTAAACTAAGGAATGAAAAGTTTTAGATTTTGAAAGAAAGTTATTTAAAAGCTATGCCCACATGTTAAAATGAGGTTTTAAATTTACAACATTTTTAAATCAGTGATAGAACATTTATTTAACCATTTTCTGACTTTTGATTTATCATAAAATAAAGTGATTCATTTAATTTTACCCAAATAATAAGTTATCTTTTACTAATATTTTTATCAGAATAAGCAAATTGCTGCTGATATTTGAGCAACAATTTTGAATTAGAAAAGAATATTTAACAAAACTGTTGCTGCTATATCTTCCTCTGATCTCGTGGTGTTACTTTGTGTTTGAATCTGTGATAAAATCAGTTCAAGAGAACGATGGTTCGTAGTCTGTACTGGTTCAATGTGGATCTGATTTGAAATGAGTTTTGTTTTCATTGTTATAGACTGGCTTTTGTTTTTATTGTTATGGACTGGCTTTTTCTTGATTATACTATTATTGGACCTCGCCTTGTTGTACATTGTTTCTGTTAGTATATATAAAAGTGAGTATGCATGTGTACATGTGATTCTCAGGAAAAAAAATGACACCCTAATGTCTGTCCACAGATTATTCTTTATTAACATTCTTTTAATGTCACTTCATTTGCTTTGATTAGTAACAAATATTGACTCAGATATTTCACATATTTCTTTCTGAGCTCCATACTTTGTGACATGATTTTCAAAACCAGTAATGGTTAACATGAAAATAAAGATATTTATTGCCTATCAGTGTTTATCAAACAACATATACAATTTTGAACATTTATTTAACCACATCAAGAGACTTTCTACCTACTAAAACATTTCAGATCTCTGACATCATTTAATACACTTTTTCTTTCCAAATATATAAATGCTATTGTTACAGAAGTTAGTATGTCTTATGAAATTGACAACAATTTCAAACAAATTATCATCATTGATCATATAAACAACTGATATTCAAAATAAATACATTGTAAACTTGGTTAGTGATGTTTTTTTTTTTTTTTTTTTTTTTTTTTTCAAAATAGGTCTTTTTTTTCTCTCTCTCACACCTTTCAACCAAGATCAACAAAATTAAAATCAGCCAGAAAACTGCTTCCATTTTCACTAGTATTTTACCTTTTCAAATAAACTATTCTGATACAAGAAAATAATTAGATTCTAATGGCAAATATCAACTCCATATTGGAAGTTACAGAGAAATACTTAATTTCCTCATGTTGAATTGAAAGATCAAAATAAGTTAGATATGTGGGTGAAACAATTTCTGTTTAAATTTGTTTCAATGTCTTTAATTTATTTAATAGACTGGAGCCTTAATTTCACATTATTTATTGTAACTTGTAGCAAAACAAATGGTTGCAAATTCAAGTAGTCACAAATCCAAGGTGCAGCAAAATGAACCAAGCACACACATGAGCCTCAAAGATATTACACACCTTGGCCCTCAAATGTAGTTGTTTATATACACATCCAAGATGCCCACAATTGGTAATATCAAAATTTGAATGTCCTGCCAATTTCTGTGTAAACAAGCTTGAAACATGGCTCAGGTTTTTTTTTTTTTTTTATATTTAGCAGAGTTTATACACAATCTGTGGACCTTTTTGTTTGACAACATTTATTGCTACACTCTCCACTGATCTCATCACAGCAACTAGATGTCTTTTTTTTTTTTTTCTGGTATTCTTTCATAGGTTGAGGTACTTGAGTCTCATTCCCAAGTGCATTGGTTGCCTCACTTATATATCCACCTCAATTACTTGTGGAGAACACATCATCATTATCTACTGCCAAGCTCTAATTCAGATTGGGATGAAAGTCTTTCCTGTGGCATGTGTTCTACCTCACTTGGTCTCAGCTGAAGTGTAGCATCAATATCTTTCAACCAAAACTCATAAGTTTGTATTCCATTGATAAGGTCAGTTGTGTTCAAAGTCCCATCTTTTAGGGTTGCATTGTACAGTTTCCAGGTAGCAATGCATTTTGCACTTCAGTGACACCTTTGCTATCCCATTTCCTAAGGATGTAGATGAACTCCACATATACCGCCAGGAAAACTTTGAAGTCTCTACTGAAGAATTATCATTGTACTCAAGGATCTCAGCTGAAGGACCTTGCTTATAAAACATGGATTCCAGTTATCCTACGTGTGCAGAAGCCTAGAGAACTAATGCTTACCACAGAGAAATAAGTCAGATCACAATCACACACACGGGTTAAGTAGTGAGTGTTGCCTATTTCCAACTTGTACCAAACAGCACACACTTTTTTTTTTTTTTTTTTAACCAATGTACAGGTGCCGGATCTATTGACTATTATTCACCCACAGGTCTTTACTATGGCTGCCCTAGTTGCCAATGGGCTGACTTTCCTGCCAAAAGTAAACCATTTGTTTCCAAGGACCCCACTGTGTTCAGAAGTGTTCATTACTCCACTTTTGTGCACATCTGCGTTGGCTCAGTATTCTTTCTTCATTACATCAAACCAATTTTGGAGTATTCTTGTCAGACCATCAACTTTGTTCTGGTTTGACTTGACCATAGTTTCATCAACTGACTAACCATATTCATTAATTAGTCCTATGAATGTGTGGAGCCATCTTTTCTCCTGCATCCTTTGCGTCTACACTTCCCATAACCAGTCAGGGTATCAGAAAGCCAGTGATATAGATGTAAGAAGTCCATCTTCAGGTGAAGTGCTTTTGCTTACCACTGAAATAAGTTTATACCTTTTAATATGGCATCAAGCCCTACCAAGTTTGTTTTGTACATTGTTAACCAGATGCAGCCAGCCATGTATCTTCAATGACCTGTTCTCTTTGCAGTAATGCAGCAATTGCTATGGAAATTGCATCAACCTGCACATTCATTTCCTGACCAGTGACGTACAATATTCCATGAACAGAATCCATCTGTTTTGTCTTGGCAATGATTTCCTGGATGATCATCATCTTGAAGGAAATGTTGTGCAAGTATTCATTCCAGCCACACAAGAACATACTTGCTCTGTACTTACCTGGAGCCATCCACACACTAAGAGATGACTTACAAGTTTTCTACAGAAAAAACACACTGTGTTGGGTAATTATACCAATGCTGTCTGGAACTGCATTCTGCAGTTTCCACCACAGAATGCTTTTCTTCTCCCACATTTCCAGGCTCAACACTGAAAACACACAAGATTAGGCATTGTCCTGACGACCCTTGATAGGCTTGACACCTTTGGCAACTGTCACAGTAAGCATCTCTATATGCTGTAATTATGTGGGGTCAACTACACTCATATTGGCATTCTTAGTCTCACCTTTGTATCCCTTGATGCCTCTGTTGCTATCCAAAGAAGAATCCCTCTTGACTGCATCAATTTGAGCCTTCAGTTTAACCATAGCAATATATTTCTTACAATCTATCCCAAATAGTGTGAAAGACAGCACTGGGATCTGATGGTCATGGATGACCCACTCTAAGATTATTAGGTACAAATTCCCCTTAATGGGAATAATCCAGCAGGACTGATTACCATTTGCTGTTAGCAATTGAGTATGCTTATTTCTGTAGGTTTGAATGTCTCACCTAGATTATATCTAGTGAAGCATCCTGTTGAAGTTCCCCCCCAATAAACACACATGTCAGGTCGAGCTTGGCTAAACCACCAAACAGATGCAATACCTTTCTCAGTTCTGCCAGTTAGACATCAGTCAATTCACTTGAATGTAGGAGCTGTGCCACAAATTGTTCACATGCTGTAAAAGAATCTGTAACAAAGGTGGTATAAAAAGCAGTTTTCATGCTGTTGACATCTCTATTCTGTTATTTTGCTGGTATACAGCAAATGCACCTCCAAACATAGAAATACTCATTCAACACTTTTTAACTTCCACAAACTGCAAATTAGTCCAGCCTTCTCAATTCAGTCAACGATCAACTGATTAGAATCTGATCCAATGAACTTAGGTATAAGCCTGAGGTCAAACTAGTTATCCACCATAATGCTAAAATTGTAAGAAAACAAATGGTTGCAGATTTGAGTAGTTACAAATACAAGGTGTAGTAAAATGAACAACACACACACAAGCCCCAAAGACAGCACATCCATTTGCATTCAAATATAACCATTTTATATACACATCCGAGATGCCTTTGATTGGTTAGATCAAAATGAAAAGATAAATGAACTAGAAACACAGCTTGAGTTTTTTTTTCCTTTTCATTTTTGGCACAGCATACATGTAGGCGATTCCAGTCAAGTACTGTTATTGCTACATAGCTTCGATTTAAAGTGGTTGTCTTTCTATGCACAAATCCTTAAATCAACTTTTCTAAAGAATTCTATTTCAAATGCTGCATGCAATAATTACTGTGACACTATTTCTGGAAAAGATAAATTCTGCTGAAAAAGGAAATTTTTGAGAAAACTCTTTTGTAATTCTCTTTGATGATATTTTGGTTAAATAAGTTTATTCAATGTTTTGTAATCAGTCACAGAAACTTAAGACAATTAATCATTTTATTCAAATTCTCATCCACTTTCTTAATATTAAACAAAAACAATTCTGTTAAATCTACCTAAATGCATTGCAAATTTATTGTTAACTTAAATGTCTCCTTATCTCTCTTTATTCAAAGGAATCAATATCACTAACAAATAAATTAGCTCCCCATGACACAGAGGAAATCAAATATCCTTAACAATTCATAAATGTTACAAGGCATATATTGATTTCATCCTCAATTCTTCCAATCAAAATTCTAGTCTTGGTCACATTTTACTTCAAATTGAATCTGTTATATCAAAATTATTTATCAATATTCCAAATCTACAAGTTATGTTTCATTTGGAAGTAAAATCATATTTCTACTTTCTCTATTTCTTTCTAATAGAGAAAAACAGATTTTGGTTTTAAAATAATTGCAGGGGGATAGATAAAATACCACCACTTTTTTTAAACCATGTTTCACATAAGCCAAATAATAATAATTTTTTTTTTTTTTTTTTTTTTTTTTTTTTTTTTTTTTTTTTTTTTTTTTTTTTAAAGCAATAACCCAGGCATGTTTTTATCTGATCATTGTTACACCTTTCTCTCTCTCTCTCTACCAAATAAAAATGATGGTCTTAAAGTTGCTTAGAACTAGAAAAAGTCCAGCTAATATCTTAGCATTAAAAAGTTTAAACTTTGAGTATATGAACAAGTATTTAAAAAAAATAAAAATTCTAATTAAAGTAATTCATTTAAATTACTGATTCTATCCCATTTTTAAACTTTGTAATATCCAGAATTTTACTTGTGTCAAATATTTATGAAGACTTTATTTGTAATAAAATTCAATCAAACAACATATCTACTTAATTTTTTAAATGTATAAGAGCCTTGAGATGATATTTATCAGTTAAATTTATTTTATTATAAATAAAAACAAAACAACTGGTATCTCCTGAATTTAAAAGAAAATAAATTTCAGATATAAGAAATTTTAGTTGTAAAGTAACTGAAATAATACAAACTATAAGAGTAAGTTTTCTATTGAAATAATGTGAGTGCTAATATTCCTGTAATTTAAAGTTTCAGTTCCACTTTAAATTCATGCAACATCCACCTCCCACTTCACCGTCCGAAGTTGCAAGACTCTTTTCTAAAGGGAAGAGAACATGAACATTTTGTTTACTATACAAAATTGTACATTAAAACCTGTGGACATTGTGAAATACTGTTTTTAAAAGTTTTTTTAATTTCACAGTAGCATTCAAATTAACTTGCAATGTATTTCCGTTCCATATTTCAAGCTTTGGCCCCGAGTTTAATAAACCCAGTCTTTTAAAAAGAAAAATTTCAATTAGCATCCCAAAGTAATTCTATAACTAAAATAAAATGACTTCATCCAAGCAATAACAACAATTTTGCTCATTAACTGGTTCATTAATTAAAAAATAAATAAAATGAAAGTTACTGGTTCAACATTAAGTAAGCATAACATACAATCCTTGTGAATGAAATTTATCAACAAAAAATAAAATCAAGTTTTACAGCTTTTTAACAGATATTTAAAATTATATCAAATATTTCTTTATTCCCAGTTTTATTTTCATTTCAGAATACATTCTTTAAATATCATGTACACTTTTATGTAAATAACTTTGTGAATAAACTTTTTGAATTGTTCAGAGTTCTTGATTCTTATTGTTAACTATTCCTATAAATAAAATGATTAAAGGAAATTTATAAGCTTTCAGCAAAGAAACTAAGCGGTACATACAGTGTGATTAATAAAAGTTAAAGGAAATTATTGTAACAGACAAGATGTGTGAATAATAAAGTTTTGACTTTTACTACTTAGGAGAAAATAAAGGATTCTTAATTGCTACTCCATATATAACTTAATAGAACTTTGAATTCAAGAGATTTTTAAATCCCCATTTCAACTTTAGTATTTTATACTAAGAAAAATGAAGTAAGAATTTGATTAATTTTTTTATTTTTCAGAACTATCTTCATTTTAAAATATATGGATAAATTAAAAATCGATTTATGTTTATCATTAATTAAAAAAAACTTATTTCTAATATCTTCAATTAGAATTTAATTTTTTTCATTTAAAGTGCATAAAAACAGACACTGAAAAATACATAAATGTTAAAAATAAAATATGTACATTAATATATTTAACTGAGGAAATTGTAACAATTTTCACAAAATATTTTATCATTGTCCAAATCACGAGCTTAATTTTATGGATGTTTTTTTTTTTTTATTATTGTCTTCTAAAGGAAAATAAGCATTAAATTGACACTAAATTAATTTAAAACTTGAAAATTCAGTTTTATCACAGGAGATTAGTATGAAAACGATAATAAATGACTCAGTATTTGTAAAATCAATAGGATTGAAGAGGCAATATTAATGTGACTAAATATCAGACATTCCTTCCTTTTTATAATTCTGATGCATGAATTCAAAAAGGAAGATATAAATAAAACACTTTATAGCAAATATTCAATGAAGAAAGTTTGCAAATTTATTTAAAAAGAAAAAAAAAAAAAAGCATCAAAAACTAACAGTTAAAAACTGAAGCATCAACCTTCTTCCATGTTTGCTCTAATGCGATTTGATGTATCTTTCTGTAATGGCCTTTGTAAAGGATGAGCAAGAAGTTGAGCCATATTGTCATAGAGTTTGGTCAGATTTTTGGAGACTTCAAATATATAAGACTGTCCTTTTACATCCAGAGAACACAGTTGGTCAAAGATTTGCTGTAAAACAAAAATCTCAGATCAGATGTAGGGATAGAGTAAGTGCAAAAAAAATTACCTGGTCATCAAATAAATTTTCTATAAAACAAAGATGACAAAAGCATCCTTTTATAAAATAAATGGAAATTAATAACATTTTAAACAGTGCTATAAAAATTTTAAAAGCAAATGAATGAGTTTAATTTTTGCATGCCAGGTATTAAAAGAATAAATTCAATATTTTGCATATTTTAAAAAGATGCAGACCTGGAAAAAATATGGCATTAAACTTTTTAGATATAATGATGTTGAACACAGCAAAAAATATATTTCTATTAATCCTCTAAATTTTCTAATATCTAGAGTTTAAACTTTTTTGGAATTAGAGAACCATTTCTAACAATTCTAAAAAGATAGTTTGTCTTGTAAAAATACTCGCATTTACAGTTGTGCTTGTAATTAAAATCCTTTGCCCGGATTTTTTTTTCTTTTCTCAAATAAAAACTTACCTCACAACAATTGTGCTCTGATGGTGGTTCATGAACATAGAAGACATCAATAAATAAATATGGAGACATAACAAGCATCTTATGTACCTGAAGAAGAAGAAATTAAAAGATGAAAGTAGTGAACTAAAAAGTTTCTATTAAACAAGCAGAAATCATCTTCAATTATTAAGAGTGTTTTGGGAAGCCCATTTACATAATGGAATACTTTTGTCGAACATTTTAAATAAAGTCATTCTAAATAAATATTAGAAACACTTGGATTAATAACATGCATAAATGTCAACTTGACTTGGTTCTTGAACATTATGTGGATAAGAAAATTCCATTTTCTCATGATTAGAAATAGTGCAACCACATCCATAAAAATTAATATGGTGATTTGGTGAATGTTACAAGGGCCAAACAACAATTAAAATATTAGCAGAATTTTAAAACTTAATCAAATAGTTTTATAATGATTGTAATTTCAGATTTACTTTTTGGGTATTAACAATTCTTGTGATGAAAGAAATTATTTAATTCCAAAGCAGAACAAAATATACCACACAACAAAAATGCTGTACACTTTCTTTTTTTTTTTTTTTTTTTTTTTGTAGTAACAATTACTATAAAAAAAAGTGTACAGCATTGTTCTTTACAACAAATCTAGATTTTGGTCTTGTAACATTCTGTTGTTCATAAAAATGTGATTCTAGGAAGGTTAACATAATCTGATTTTATACAAATAGAAAATGCTCAGAAAATATCCTAAAATAACAATGAAAAAATACAATATTGCAAAATATTGTGAACAATGTGTCATATTTAAAAAAACCTAAAGTATTATAAACCTGCTTACCTCATGGTCTAACTCTAACTTGCTTTGCGATCGGCCAATTATTAGAATGACTCTCACAATGTATGGAGGTGGTAAAGATGGATCCTCCATTACTGGCAACTCAACTCGCCTCAAGCTGAATAAGAACAGAAAAAATTATTTTCTACAACCAAATGCAAACAGTTTATTAAATTTATTATTATGTGAAATTTTAAGCCACAATTTATATGAACATTTTTAGTCTTAAAAATTATAATCATGGTTCATAGATGACCGAAATCAATTAAATTTTCTGAAACTTTCAAATAAAGTCAACATTTAATTAATGTGAACTTATCTTAGAACTTTATCCCAAATAAAATAAACAAAACCTGATGACATCATAATTTGATGTCAACTTAATATTACTGGTTACTAAGACATTTTTTTTTAAATCTTCAACCAAATAAAGCATTTGTCCGGAAAATTAAAATAAAATCTGGCTTTAGTTTGTAAAGAACAATTTCTGTATATTGTTATATCAGTTCATCCTGAGATTTTCTAATACCAACAATGAAACTGCCCATTGATAAAAACAGAAATTACACCAACTATTCAATGAAACTTTCTTTCAGACGTCTTTATAGAAAATAAACTTTATATAGTTGAATTCTGAAAGATTTTTAAGACTTCCTTATTTATATGAGGTCTTATATAAGCAGAATAAAAGAAACTAAATTTATTCAATCAAAATATCACTAATATTTTTAAGAAGTAAATCATTAATAATCTAATTAAATACTTATAGTAATCTTTTTGTTTTTTCAATTTGACTTTTATTGACAATCAGTCGGCTAATCTTTCAACAATCATAAAGTTGAGCAGAGCCAAAGCTGCCCATTTAATATGACTTCATTATAACATTTCTTATATTCATACTTTCTGGGAATAAAATAATTTTCTTAATAAATTTTTGCTGTAACTTATGAAAGAAATAATTTCAACAATCTCAGAATAATTTCCTGTCTTGACTTAGGAAAAATCACTGCAAATGCTTCAAAAGGGTGCCAAAGATTCCACATCATTCATTTTTTTTTATTGAATGTTTGAGAATGTGAGAAAAAAAATACTATTAAGGAAAGAAAACAATAAAAGAATGACAAAAGATAACGATTGAAATTGCATTTACATTTTTTGAAGATCAAATTTGACTGGAAAGCACGATGCCAGGAAAGAGTTCCACAAGCAAGAAGTGTGAGAAAAGAAACTGTTAGCATAGAACTTACTATTACATTGCGCCTTTTCAACTGTAAAATGATGAGACCTTGCCACCAATCTAGTACTATGCTTAAATTCATAAAGTCTACGTACCATAAAGGAAAGTTCATCAGAACAATTACTATGAAAGTATTTTTTGAAAAGGTGCAGGGAAGCTATAATATGGCAATGGGAAAGTAACTGGAATCGAGAGTCAGGTCAGGATCAATAATATTGCAGATTATTCTTTGGAGTTTATCAAGAATCTCTAAATATATAGCAGGAGCACTAGACCATATGTGGCAGTAATATTTAAAGCAAGGACAAATGGTAGCCTTTCAAATATATAAGATAAATTCTAGTGAAAAAAAAAAATTGTCTAGCACAATACAGTGAACCAACTTTCCTAGTGGCAAGTCCTAGCAATTGATTCAATATAATATTCCTGCTTCATGTCAACAGAAAAAATTAGTCCAAGAAGGCACAATGAGTTACTCTTCTGAAGGTTAGCATCTTTTCTTTTTTTGCTATTATAATAAAACAGGCAAAGCAATTACTTAAATTCTGGTGATAATGAGAGAGCACAAGCAGAAATCCAGACTGAAAAAGAATCAGTAGATTAAACCCCTGCAACCTAAAAGAGCAATTAATCCTATCTGAGCATATTAAAATTCCAAAATGATGCTCACCTCTATTAGAGGTCAAAATTATCAACACTATATAAACTCTTGATAAAAAGTTCCCAAGGTTTTTGAAGTCATTATGGTTGCTGAAAATCAAATTGCTGTTACATTTATTTTTTTATGATAATTCAATCTGATATTCTGCTAAAAGTAGAATTAGTTTGTGACCATAATAAACTATTGCAATCAAACAATTATAATTCTTGAATGTAAGCTGCTATGAAAGACAAACCTGTAAAAAGATGATAGGACTCTAAAAATATCTTCAGATAAAAATTCTAAAAGTTTCAAGATTAAATATGTTTTTTCAGCTGTTAAAAAATGGCCTACAAAAACTGCCAGTAGCTTTATGAGCAAGGCATTCTTGTTCCAATGAATGCTGCAATCAAAGAAATAAACTGCAAACTGTGACAACAGGTTTTGTGGAGAAGTTCAACTGTACAAGTAAATTGACAGTTTTGAACATTGCAGAGATTGTTCACAATTCAATTGAATTTTTCAATTTTTTTGAGCTACCTGGTGTTCCTTCCTACAAACTTTGATTAAAAGTTAGAATGGTCATTATGTTTCTAAGAAATCTCTTCCCTCCAAAGTTGTGCAACAGAACTCTTCTAGATATCAAACTAGATCTCCTAAAAATCATCAAGGCAACTATCCTATGTTGGGTAGACAAAATGGAGAATGTCTTCATTCCCAGGACCCCCATAATTCCAATAGACTTAACCTCTGTATTCATGCCATGACCATCAGCAAGGTACAAGGATAATCTCTTATGACCACTAACCTTAACTTGAATTCTCCGTGCTTTCCTCGTTTATTGGTTGTTTTAGAGTTGGATCCCCAAACAACCTTTTAATCATAGTACCCAATAGGAGAAGCAATAAATTTACACAGAGCCTTATGAAATTAAAAGAATATATTCTTTGTTTTTTTGTGTGGTGTCTGAAAATATTTTTTTTGGTTAACAGCTACTTTTTCATATCATTATAATTCTGCTTGTTCCTCTGTTAGTAAATGCATTACAGCCTGCCATTATTGCAGATAAATAATGGGACCATTCCATTTTGATAGGAAAAACAAAAGAAGAGATACTGTTTGGTTTTAGGGAAGAAAAGAAAGACAGAAAAGAGAGGAGGAGGCAATAACACATTTGTTTAACATCTGCTTTAGTGAAATGGAAAACCATTTGTACCCTCTTACTTCTCTAAATAATGACCTGCATTCATACTTAGGATTGTTACTGCATCTTCTTGCTAAAGTTGTTAAGGTCAAATATTTAACAGTGCAATAAGGGAATTTCCACAAATTTTATGGTTGTGCAACTCACTAGGAGCTTATTCAATCATTAAATTAAAAATTATGATTCATCAGAAAATTAAAATATGAAAACTGAAATTTTCATAGATGTTTTAGGGTGTGTAACAAAAAAAATATGAGGAGAGGTACTGAAAGGTTCTCAGCACAACTCACTTTTCAAAACCTCACCAAATGATCAAACATCAAAATAATTTTTTTTTAATCACTTCTTCATCAGACTGAGAACTTTTCAGTACCCTCTCTGTTATATCTCGTGCAAGATATAATAAACAAAGTAAACCCGAGTGTTGGTTTTCAATAATAATTTTATAATCGGATGTAGGTATGTCAAAATACAGAGACAGAGTCAGGAGTAAGCTGACCTCAATAGGTGTTAACAAACGAAGACCTTTTTTTCTCTTACTGTCCGCTGTGGTCGTACTTTATCGGCAACCAGTCCATCCATTATCATAAATGGGGAAGTTGGGTTATCTCATCACAACACCTCCCCCCGAAGCCGAAATTCTCCCTTTTGAAAATTTCTGCTTCTAATGTCGTCTTTTTGGATCCGGACTAAAACGCTCCACTGGTTTTCTTTCCCGTGTGCTCCTTCTTTTAGTCGTCACAATTAGATCCTTTTTTGGCGAAGATAATTTCCGCTTTTCAGCCCGTAAGGCTGGTCCATGAGATACAGGTTCAAATACACTATTGGGTAGTGTCATGTTAAAAGCATCGCATAACACTTCCATCGGAATTTCTTCTTCGCTTTTTTTCACTTTCTTCACCATATCGTGGTCTAATCTGATTGATGTGTCTTTTACACGTAAATTTTTTACTTTTAATCGTGTAGACCACTTTACCAATCCTTTTCTGGATTATGCCATCCATCCAATAGCTTTTTCCACTTTTAAAATTTTTGAAAAAAACTTTGTCTCCTGAAGTGTATTTTTTTTATGTTGACTTTTTCCTCTTTCTTAGCAACTTTTTTGTTTTGATAGGGTAACAATCTATCGAAAATTGATCTAATTTTCCTTGCGAACATAATTTCCGCCGGTGACATTTTCGCATCGTTGTTCTCATTAGGAGTTACCCTATAGATTGCTAAGAACTTCTGAATAGTTCTTTCTTCCGTGTCCATACCTTTATTTTTACGTAAAGCACGTTTAAAGGTGTCAACAAATTTCTCGGCTTGACCGTTCAACCTGGGATGACACACTGGTGTAGTTATTTGTTCAATGTCTAAGGCAGTACAGAAATCCTTAAACTCCATACTTGTGAACGCCGTACCATTGTCACTCACCAATGTCCTGGGAACCCCAAAACGACTGAAAATTTCATCCAATGCACTGATGGTGTTCCTAGATGTAGGATGCTTGCACTTGACTACCTCAGGCCATTTCGATAAAGAGTTCACCAATATCAAATAATAGTACCCATTAATTGGTCCAGCATAGTCTATATGTAGCCGTGCCCACGGCAAAATCCGTTCGCCAAGGATTCATTTTGACTGGAGGTGCCCTTGCAGCCAATTGACAACCTCTACATAGTCTTACAAAACCTTCAATATCCTTGTCCATTCCTGGCCAGTATACGTAACCATCGCATGAGTGATTTCATCCGAGACATTCCAGGATGACCGGTATGAAATTCTTTCAGCATATCTGTAACGTAGAGATTGAGGTATAACAATTCTATCTCGCGACATCAACATGTTGTCATAAATTGAAAAAGGTGAAATCTGAGTTCCCTTTTTCTGTCTTTTTGTTCCATCTCGACTGGTTCCTTAATTTCACAATATAGTGATCTTTTTCCGCTTCTTTTTTTATTTGGTCCAAAGTTACCGCAATTCCCTGATTGTATTCAACAAGAGACCTGATATTTCTTTTTCCTCAGTTAATGCTGCTATAACAAGTCTCTTCTAACATTTCTTCATTTTTTGGAATCAGCCTTGACAATCCATCCGCATGCCCATGTTCTTTAGATTTGACGTATTCCATCCTAAAATGGTAATTAAGCAGGGTTACACCCCATCGCCGTAAGCGATTAGCTGTATGCGGGAATGCCTTTTTTACCTCAAATATTGTAAGTAACGGTTTATGGTCCATTTGAAGTACAAATGACCTACCATGTAAAAGCGATGGTATTTTTAACCCCGAACACAATCAACAAAGCCTCTTTCTCGATCTGGCTATAATTTTTTTTTCAGCGGAAGAAGAGTCCTCGGCAGCGTCTTGCGCGATCGGTTTAGTAGTGCCATCTTCATATTTGTGTAGCAGTGCAGCACCCAATCCGCATAAACTTCGTCAGTTGCCAGAATGATCTCTTTCTCAGGATCATAATGTGCTAAGGCGAGATCTGAGAGTAGGCATTTTTTTATTTTCTGAAAAGCCGTCTCGCAATCTTTTGACCAAAACCATTTCTTGTCTTTTTTCAACAATTCGTTAAGGGGGGCTCTTAAATCATACATTTTAGGTATGTAGCTTGCATAATATTGTGCCAACCCCAGAAACGATTGTAGTTTCGCAACTGTGTCAGGTTCTTAATTGCATCGGCTCTCTGTGGGTCCGGTTTCCTGCCTTCACTGTCTTTTACCTGTCCGAGGTATGTAATTCTTTCCATGAAGAATTTACACTTCTCGTGGCTTAATTTAAAGCCAAAATCTTCTAGTCTTTTGAATATCGCTCTGATGTGCGTTTTATGTTCTTGAACATTCTTACTTTTGACTAGAATGTCATCTAAATAGGTGGTACCAAACTCAAGGCCTGCCAGCATGGTGTCCATCACCTGCTGAAACAAAGCTGGGGCGACCTTTAAGCCAAAAGGAAGCCTATTTAGCTTATAAATACCTTTATGTGTATTTATACACAAATATTTTGAGCATTCGTCACTCACTTTAATCTATATTTATATAATTAATTCCCCCCATTCAATTTTGAAAAAATATCTTCTGGTGAAGGTAGTGGATAACTGTGATTTTTAAGGCAATCATTTAAACCTGTTGAAAAATCTGCGCACACTCTTATTTTTCCGTTTTTCTTCTTAACATAAACTGTGGGCAAGGCCCAATCCGCATGGTCAACCTTAGATATCACTCCCATTTTTTCAAGTCTTTCCAATTCCTTATTAATTGTGTCTAAGGAGGAAAAAGGAACGTTTCTCTTAGGTTTAAAAATTGGTTTCACATTTTCCTTGAGTTCAAATTTGACTTCCGTCTTAGTACATAAACCCAATCCCTCAGAAAAAACTCTGGGATATTCTTCTTTTAATTCATTCATGAATTTTTCATTTTTAATACTTTTTTGTTTTTCTGCACTGTTTATTACGTTGCAAAATGAGTTAATCAGGAGTTCAAACAAATCAAAAAGTACTATCCAGTCTATTCCAAAAAGACATGAATTAATCCCTTGGATTACATACACTTTCGTTTTTGCAGTCTTGCCACATAACGAAATATCGCACTTTAATTCTCCCTTAAAGTTTAATTTCTTTCCTGAAACCCCTCTAGCGTTTTTTTTGGTTTCAGATAATTTAGGTCTTCCAATATTTTTCCATGTTTGTTCATCAATGATGCTTATGTCTGAACCAGAATCCAATAGGAAAGTAATTGTATGATTATTTATACGTACATCTACGTACTTTCTATTTTTACCTTTCTGAATTTCTTTTTCTGATAATACCAGGCTTACATCTTGTAATTTCCTTTTCTTGCGGCAAACCAAATATTTATGCCCCTTATTTCCGCATACGATTGACAGAATTTATTTTTGTACCAACACATGTCTTTGGTATGATTTTTATTTCCGCACGATTGGCAGAATTTATTTTTGTACCAACACACGTCTTTGGTATGATTTTTTTTCCCCACACGATTGGCAGAATTTATTTTTGTACCAACACGTGTCTTTGGTATGGTTATTTTTTCCACACGTCTCACATTTTTCTATCTTTTTAGCTTTTGGAGTTTTTCGCGTTTTTTACGTTAGCTGTCAACATTAGCAACACTTTTCTCCTCAATTTGTATATTATCCCTTTTTTACGTTTATGAGACGTTGGCATTCTTCGGTCACCCTTTGTAATGTTATTTTCGAGTCTTGCTCGACCATTCTTAATATTCTCGACCTAATTTCTTTATATTTAGGATCAGTTAGTCCTTGAAGAAAAATTAGGCACTTGAATAAATCTTTGGTTATTTCTTCTAACTTGAATTGTTCAACCAGAGAGTTCACTGTTCCCGCGTATGTCACAAAATCCTCGCTATCTGCTTTAACGATGTTTAGGCATCTGTATCGCGTGTGGAACAGACTATTCCTTTCGTCAAATATTTTTGACAGAATACTTATAGTTTCTTCAAACGAAACTTCTTCTGGTTTTCTGGGCAATATCAAGTTTGAGTACTTCCTATTCTCGTTTGTCCCTAGTTTCTGGACTAATAATGTTACTCGTTCATCATCCGACCAATGTTGACATCTCTTGGTAAATATAGTTTCGAAACGTTTAAAGTATGCTGGAAATGTAATGCCCGAATCAGGATCATAAATAAATTTGGATAATGAATTTGCTATTCCTTCAGCAGAAAAAACAGTATTTTTTCTTTCTCCAGTCGCCTGTTTCAGAATTTTTTCGAGACTTTTTTGCTGTTGCAATATTTGTTGTTGTAAGTCTTGGTGCTGTTCTTGATGTTGTTGTTGTTGCAAACTTGTACACAGCATTTTAGTCATTTCGACTAATTGCTCCATCCTGACTTTATTTAGAATTCGGCAAATTTTTTTTTTTTTTTTTTTTTTTTAGACAGTTAACAGACAATTTACAGCCGTAATATTTTTACAACCCGTAATTTTTACTTGAATAATCAATTATTAGACCGGCTCGCATTTGAGTCGCGGTTCAATATATATTTTTCAAATCACAATTCAACAGTAAAAAATTTTCTTACTTTTCAAAAAGTTTCCTTTTGACTTGTGACTCCGCTTTCGAAATCCGTTCAGCGTAATCTGATATATATATATATATTTTTTTTTCAAGTAAGTACGTTGCACAATCCTTCGTCGCCAGCTGTTATATCTCGTGCAAGATATAATAAACAAAGTAAACCCAAGTGTTGGTTTTCAATAATAATTTTATAATCAGATGTAGGTATGTCAAAATACAGAGACAGAGTCAGGAGTAAGCTGACCTCAATAGGTGTTAACAAACGAAGACCTTTTTTTCTCTTACTGTCCGCTGTGGTCGTACTTTATCGGCAACCAGTCCGTCCATTATCGTGAATGGGGAAGTTGGGTTATCTCATCACAACACTCTCATATGTTAAAGACTATATTTTTTTCATGTCTTGCTATATTTGAAGTTATTTTTCCTCCAGGAAATACTGGTTTCTCTGCTTGTTCATTAAATATATTTCTATTGAAATCATTAGATATAAAATTATTTCTCAAATTCTCTTTTGTAACTTAACTACTAAAAGAAGAAAATAGTTTAGATGAAAATTTTAATCCTTGATAAATGTTATAATAAATATAAAAGTCCAAAAGAGGCTATATATTTTGATATGCTTAATAAATTGTGTATTTTTTTCTATTTGCAATTCTCTATCAGGAGAATGATAAAAATTTCTTATCAGCCAGATCCAATCTTATTTTAGATGTTCACAAACAGAGTTGCTCGGGGTTACACTATACCAGGGGTCACCAAACTATGGCCCACAGCAAGATCTGGTCTGCGATGTCAATTTGTCTGGTTCGCTACTACACTGTGTCACAATTGAGCTAAAATATAATTATTTATATGGAATTATATGGAATTATCAATAGAATGTAATTAAACTTACTATGTAGAAAAAATTAAAATAATGTAAGTAAAAATGCCAAAATTTGACCAATCTGATTTTTGTATTTGATAGTAATATAAGTTTTAGATTGATTTTCAAGTGACTTGTTGAAAGAAAAGCACAGAGAAGGAAAACGTCTTGAATCACTGCTTACCTAATGATGTGTTTACAAAGTTGAAGAAATTTGCCTCTGGTATGGAATCATTGTTTGGAATAACTTACGTCTGTGAGCAAACATTTTCAAAATGAAGTATATAAAGTCAGCACATCGAACAAGTTTGACTGATGAACATTTGAAAGCAATTCCCTTGGTTGGACGCAGCAATCGCAAAGCAAATATTGATTATATCTTAAAAGGTAAATGCCAGTTTTAAATATCACTAACCTTTTTTTTTTCTGCTTAATTTGTGAGATTCAGGTATGTACACACTGGATATATCTATTTTATTGACAATGTCACCTTCTTTGATAACTTTTTGGTAAATAAATATGTTTATTGTCTTTAGTTTTTGTGTATTCATTGGATTGAACAAAATGTTTATCCGTCCCACGTTCATTATTCTCTCAGTTCTCTGTCCCTCTTTGCATTGTACTAATTATAAATTATGCCACATCACTGATTTGGATTTGATTAAATAATTAAAGAACACTGCTATTTAAGAAAAAAAGTAAAAGAAAGTCTATTCTTCAGATAAAACTTACATTACTTTCAACAGAGATCCTATATCAAGGGCAGAGCAATCACATGTTTCATCTAAATCCTCTATTAAATTAGAAATATCCCGAGGATCTTTGGTGAAGTCTCGAAACTGAAAAATAAAATGTTTTCATTTGCAAGAAAATAACTAAAAAATATCATGTGTTTTACAATGCAAAAAAGAAAGAAAAAAAAAAAGAACTCTGCAAGCAGAAAATAAATCACATTCTGTATGAATTTCTCAGGTAGCCATTATTATACAATAATTTATTCAAACTGGTGTATTTATCTAGTCATTAAAGTTGCACTATTTCAACCATTGTACTTTTGGCCTTCTTCAGGTTACTGTAATATTTAGTAATGTATCCTGAAATTTCAAACTGAACCTTTCATTTAATGTGCTGCTTATTCCATTGTCCATGCTTCTCGTTGGGTTATGACATAAATCGGCAGGAAGAAGACATTATGTGATCGTCATTATCACCAGTGATGAAAAGAAAGACTTCAAGAACAACACTGCTGAAACCAACTGATTGAGAGAGATATGTGAAGGATACATTCACTAGTAGGATGTGCAAGTTTACTGCTAGTTCATGTGGTAATTTGGTAGGCAGGAGTAAGCTGTAAGAATGATGGTGCTGACTGCTGAGGTCAGAAGAGGTCAATTTTGGATTAAAATGGAGACTATGAAGCCATGTATAGCTGATTATGTGTGCAAGGTAAAATGGAGAAACCCTTGTGAAACATTTCAGAATAATAGAGAGCAACACTGGAGAATAAGACAATTGAAAGATTCAGTGTACACGTTAAGCTCTGATAATCTCAATATGTCTAGAAATTTACATCTTGCCTTTTCTTACATTCATACAACATCACATAGTAAACCTCACTCTTGAGTGGCTCTTAGGCCTTGTATTGGGTGAACCTTAGTACATAAAAACGATAAATACTATATAGGATCTAAAAAGAATTAATATGAGTTATCTTCCCTAGACATAGACAGTGGAATGAAAACACTGCTTCAGTGCATTAAAGAAACTTTTAAAATGTTACTGAATATGCAAACATCTGAAGAAAGCCAAAAGATACATCAACTGAAAGACAATGACTATAACAACTAAGATGAAGACAGAAATTCAAATAAATCATTTATGCTTTTCTTCTGATTCAATATATTGTGAAACATTGTGTTTTTATTTTGCAAAGAATTCAATTTGTTTAAAGAATGCTTGTTAAAAATGTTAGGAATCTATACTTGCTAATTCAGAAATTTTATGAAAATACGATATTTACCTCTTTATTTAAGTTAATTTTTATGTCCAATATTTTATATCTATCACTTTCAATGTTATTTACAAAAAATTTTATATTTACACTGGTCTCAAATCTTGTGGGAGAATATTTATTGATATTGAATTATATGTAACATTTTCAGATGTAATTGTATTTTTAAATTTTAATATATTGCCCATCCACTGTTATAAAAGATAAAATCCTTCATCAGCTATCCCTATATAAGCATGACATTACAAAATCACAAACAATGAGCTTTTACTAAATATCAAAAAAAAAATATAACACTTGAAGTCTTCCAACAACAAAAATGCATAGCACATTTAACTAGAAGAGAAAATAAATATAACTTTTCACAATAACAAAAATGAAAGGAAATAATAGTGGACTCAAGAAGTTTAATTTCCTCAAAAACTGTTGAGAAAAGATTTTATAAATTTCAACCAATAGCAATGCTAAATATTCAGTCAATGAATGCAAAATATTTCTTGTATAGAAAGAGTTAACTTGACCATTATCATAAATGTTATGTTTATTAGTAAATATATATACAGTCCTGGGTTTTATTCTAAAAAAAAAAAAAAAAAAAAAAAAAAAAAAAAACCAGTGAAATCAGTGTCTATCAGCCAAACAGATAAACAAATCTCTTGGTATCCCAATAGAAGGAAATTTTTCCATTCAATTTGTTGTAGAGTAGTTTTCACAGGGGAGGCTTGTATTTCAATGTCGTCCTAAATTAGGTTCGACGTACAAAATGTTAGGAACTTGAAATAAGAGTTAATGACACAGCAATCTAGTTGTGATGGTTGGTACTTCAATGTCCGATATCGACTGACTTGCTCAACACCACTGAGCCCAACTGGTGACTGCTACTACTACTACTTATTATGTGTGGGAGAGTCTATTAAGAATAGAATAGGTACGTCAGGTATAACAATTATTCTCAGAAATTCATCCATGATAATTGGAGGAAACTGCTGACAACAATAAAATCCTTGTCCTCATCTTTGTTGCCATATTTGTCACAATGTTTCGGCCATTGTATGCTCCGGCCTTCTTCAGGTGGTTGGAATTTCGAACTGAACCCTTTATTTCGATCACTGGGGTAGACTGTTCTAGTTCCACGTGCCATGTTTGATGGATGTCAGTTATCAGTAATCTCCTGCTAATTTTCCCTCTGAAAGTTCTCCAAGGATCTAACCAATGCCTTTATCCCCTGTGGATAAAGGCGTTGGTTAGATCCAGTGACAGACCCAAAGAGTGTGAGTTCAATACCCGGTTAAGGCAGTGGAGAACTTTCAGAAATATGGCGACAAAGATGAGGACAATAGTCCGACTAATGTAAATACTGTACATAATACTTCATCTCAGAAATATAGACAGACAATAAAATCCTTGCCTGATAAATCTGAAATGGTAACATTATGATTTTGTTATTTCTTCTAACTAATATCCTAATCTTTGTTGCTTTTTAGCATTTTAGTTGACCTGCTCTCCTGCATTCCTTAAGTGTACATCATACCAACAATTGCAGCCATGAATTTTTACAGATAGAACACTAACTTTTCAAGATCAATCATAAGAATCAAAAATGTAGCAAACAAGAGATTATAATGGCACATTTTATGACTGATGTTAACATTTTTTGTTTCCTAAAATGCTAAGTTGTTATGAAATGTTTCCTAAAATATCAATTTTTCAAGGCTCTTTCAATGATAAAACACAAGTTACATAGAATTATAATGTTTTTATGTCTAAAGATCCTTTATTCAACTTCTTTTTCTCTGGGTTCTAATCTCAGTGTTAACATAGCAGAAATTGTATTTCTATACTTAAATGATTTTCTATTTGAATCCAACAAGTTATATCTGACTATTTCTGTCTGCCAACAAAATCCCAATTCAAAAATTATTGGGTCCTCTCCATTGCCTGCCTCATGGTGAGAATTCAAAACATCTAAGCAAAACTAAAAGAGCCCTCTTAATAAAGTAGCATTACAAAGAAGTTATTTCTAATGTAATTACTTTAAACTATAGACAAACACCAAAAAGAAAAATTATCTTTAATTTTGATTATTTATGAAAATCAATTAAAACTTAGGCATCAAAAACAGGCACACCTTACCCATGCAGCAGTTTCATGTACTGTAACTAATCCAAATTCATGGCGGTTATCCAAGCGGTGTTTGCTTTGAACAAATAGACCAATTGTTCTCTTCACTAATTGTAAAGTAGAAAAGCGATCTCTAAAAAGAAAAGTATACACAAATCAAACATCACAGTAATCATTTCTGGAAAACAAAATCAGGTTTATTTAATGACTACATTTTTTTTTTCATCATAATTTTTTTAATATTTTCCAGAGTATAAAAGCAAACGGGAAAAAAAAAAAGATCAGTCACATGAAATTCTGTACTATTTTCATAAAGGTAATAAAAATCAATGCAACAATTATCAAAAATAATTTAAGCAGTGATTTGAATTAGCAATACTTTAAAATAGTCAATCACAGATCGTTAAGTTGCATAGTAAAAGTTTTATATTGTATTGCTTTAGTCAAGAAAATTATTCAGTTTCAAGCCCATCATGATTTAGAATTATTTTCAATCAGATACTAAGAGACTCCTAACACACTCGTGAAAGATCAAATATTGAATAAAACGTAACTAGAGAGCTATATAAATATTTGATGTTGGCATGGGTTAAAAAATACATAGGCAGTCAGTAAAAAATGGAATCCCCGACTCCAAAAATTGGAATTGTGACCTGAATGTGTTTGTAATTATCATTTATATGCACAATGCTAGTCTATAAATCCTGGTAGTTGTGTTAGTCTTGGTTTATTATCTTCTTAAATGTATTATTTTTAAATTGAGATTTAATATTAAAATCTAAAATTTGAAACTGAAATAATTTCTCTTATATAAAAGCACAAGTGAACTTGATTGAAGACTACATGCAGCTTACCCAGCTCGGGAAAGAAATTTCATTTGTTCCATTTCTGAACTCAGATCCAAACATAAAACCTAAAGAAACAAAACAATAAGGATTTGTACAGATCATTTAAAATTGCCTAAAAACATTACTTTTTCAAATCATGACAATTCAGAAATTTACATAGAATTGCAAGATAAACCCAACTAATAAACATGTTTCTGTGATAAAAAATAAAGAATAGCAATACAATTTATCAATAGCTTGTATCATCACATTTTCAACAACAATGGCCATGAAGATGATGTTATTCTTTTCTAAAAGTTCAATTCCTCATTAAAGCACTAATGATTTTGTGAAGCTGATGTTTGTTAATAATTGTCTCTTCACTCTTTGTTCCATTAGCTTATTCTAGAAATACTTATTTTGATATATTTAAACTGAATGTTAATTAGATCATCAGAAATTTTAAGTTTAATTTTGTAATTTTTTAATAAAACATTTTTACAGTAAATTAACTGAAACAATAAAATAAGTAAATATAAAATGTGCCTATATAGAAAGAAATTGAAAAGATGCAAGAATTTTCAAGAAAAATCTGAGAAAGTTTTAACTTATAAGAATAGGTATTTTTCATTAGAAAAATGTTTTTAAAATCTTTAATTTGAAAAAGGAGAATTTGAAATGTATTCATATAGTGATTTACAGCAGAAAGGAATTTTGTACTAATTTATGTTCTTTCTTTAATAAGATCATTTTTAATGCAAGATCTGAAATTATGATTTTCATTTTGATATTCAATGACAATAAATATGTGAAATTATATCTCTTTATATAAAATGCCCTTGTAGCATAAAATTTGGCCTTGGAATCAACCTTTAATACTGCACTGATGATGGCCTCTTCAACATAGCTCTGTCTCTGGTCCAGGACTCAAACAACAAATGCACAAGATAAAGAGCTCCAATATGCTGATGACAACTGCATCCTGGCCCATGAACTTAAAAACCTCCAGAACTCAACAGACAACTTCTCCAGAGCGTACATGTGCTACAGACTCATCATCAGCATGGCAAAGACCAAGGTTCTACATCAACCATTACCTGGAATCAAAATCACCATCAACAGACTGGACCTGCAGAATGTTGAACAATTTCCATACCTTGGAAGTGTACTAACATCAAATGCATCCAATGAAAAAGATGTTGATAACCGAAGCAAGGCTGCCCATGCAGCATACAGGAAGATGTTCAAAGGAATCTTCATCATTCCTGGGCTAACCCAAACCACCAAGCTCATGGTCTACCGAGCTGTAATCTCATTTCTCCTGTACACCTGTGAGACCTGGATACTCTACCAAAGAGACATCCACAAACTTGAAAGATTTTATCAAATGAAACTTTGTCAAATCCTGCAGAACATGTGGCAAGACCTGATCGGGTCATTCCATGCCAAAACACCAGCAAAAAGTTGAAATCTGCACCCACTGACACCGAATTACTTGACATTTGGCATAAATGTTCCCCTTGAGTTAGGAAAGTGTGCCAAATTATTTTGTGCTAGACTTTATCATTCCAATTTTAAGGGAGGGGGGGTGTATAATTTTACTATTTTGCCTCTAAATTAAAGCCAAGCAATATCACCGAATTTCAGTGTTTTTTAAAAATTAAAGAAAAATACTTCCATACCTTCAATATTTCTGAAATTTGGTATGTAGGGCAAATAAGAAGTGTAGAAACCAAATATTTAACTATTTTAAACCTACACTTGATAGAAAATTTTATTTTACTCACCCAAATACATTACCCCAAAATTCAACAACTTTTCACCTATGTAGCTTACAGTCAGTCTATCGAAAATATGTCCAGTTCAATTTTCATAATATTTTTTGCCTAACATCTACTCAAGTTCACCAAAAAATTTTGGTAAATATTTTTGTTTCATGAAAATAATTTTTCAAAATTATTTTCATGAAACAAAAATATTTGATTTTGTTTTAATCTGAATAAAGTCATAATAAAATTGAATATAAAAGAGTCTTTAAAAGATTACATAAACTCCACTATGCACTGTCTGGTCCTGAAACATGTCCCTTATCATCCAGTATCCAAAGAGAAAGGTGGTATTTTTCTAATTACTTGGATTTTTTACTTGCACACTGGATTTGAAGTACAGTAGTTTCTTATTTCAGTTAAAGATGAATTGTTCTCTTTGTACTGAGCTAACAGTTGAAACATGTCATGCTTTATTCAATGATAAACAGGTTGGATTTATTTCAGTTGATCATTTGGATGCAAAGCTTATTGCCTAGAGAACAGGACTTGATGAGGATAAAATACAGACTGTTACCATCACAAGCAGACCTTACTGACTAACTATGAATGGCTTGAAAAAAGATGTTATAATCCATTTAAAAATCATAAAATGAAAACCAAAGGTCATTTGAAACCAATTTCATTGGAGATGGCAGACAAGGCAAAGGCTAAGTTGGTATTAATCCCAGGCAAGAAACTCTGCCCTAATTGTCGAATACAAATCCACAAACTACTTTGCAATGATGAAGAACCAAGACATGTATCGGATGAGGAAATACAAGAACTTGAAGCAGGTACTTCTGCAGAAAAGGTAGTAATAATGAAGAACCAAGACGTGTATCAGATGAGGAAATGAAAGAGCTTGATACAAGTACTTCTGCAGAAACAGAGAAGAGAAATATCAATGAAGGTTTCTCTTATATTGGAATTTTTCCACTGAAAACAAAAGGGCTTCATTACTCAGGAAAAGCTACTTTAGGTAAGAGAAAATCTTTTTCTGCAATGCAATGTGTAAAGACCAAAGTAGCCAAGTCATTAAATGTTGACTATGAGGCTTTAAAAATCAAAAAGGAGATTTTAGATAAAGCTAAGTGCTTTGATAAAATGATAAAGCTTCTTGTAGTAAAAGTGAAGACAGTGAAATCAACTAAAATCAAAATACAGATCTTGACACTTGCCCCTACCAACTGATCACAAAAAAAAGTCTTGGATGTGTTTGGTGTTTCAGAACACATTGTATGCAAAGCTTGCAAATTGTGTTTGGAAAGAGGTATTTTAGCTGTGCCAGAACCAAAAAGGGGCAAGTCTTTGCCTGCTGATATTGCACTGTTAGTGGAAGCATTTTACCAAGGTGATGAATATACCTGACGGATGCCAAGCAGGAAAGACTACATTAGTATTAAACGTTATATTCATCAGTAGAAAAGACTAATCTTGTGCAACCTAAATGAGCTCTTCAGAGCATTCAAGCAACAGAACCCAACAGTACCTTTGGGATTTTCAAAACTTTGTAGTCTAAGGCCAAAATGGTATGTCCTTGCTGGTAGTGCAGGTACGCATGTTGTATGTGTATACACTATCCACCAAAATATGAAATTATTACTGGAACCACTGAATGTATCATATAAAGATCTCTGCAAATATATTGTCTGTAATACCAGTAGCAGAGAGTGTATGATTCATAGGTGTCCAAATTGTCCTAAATCATCAGGGCAGCTTGAAAAATTTCTTTATGACACCATGGAAGGATATATTGATAATGCTGAATCAATAGAGTTCTCCCAATGAACACCAACTGACCGATTGACAACACAAAAGGAATCCTGTCAAGTTTACATTGATTTAGTTGTTTTGCAACTGAATAAATTAGCATCTCATTCTTACTTGGCTAAATCACAATCAAGGTACTTAAAGAGGAGATTAGTGATAGTGAAATTTTGTTCCTGGGAGATTGTGCCGAGAACTACAAATTTATAGTTCAAGATGAGATCCAAAGTTATCATTGGAATACTTCACAATGTACTTTACATCCAGTGGTACTCTACTTTAAGCTTGAAAATGCAATGCAAAGTGAATGTTTCTGCATTATGTCAAGTGACAACTCACATGATGTAGCATTTGTTTATATGGTACAGAAAAAAATTATTGAGGTAATCAAAGCTACCTTGCCAAACATAAAAAATATTTAGTATTTTACTGATGGTTGAGCAGCATAATACAAGAATTATAAGAACTTTGCCAATTTGTGCAACCATCAGAAAGATTTTGGGCTCAATGCAAAATAGAATTTCTTTGCAACAAGTCATGGTAAACAACCATGTGTTGGTATAGGTGGGACAGTGAAAAGGATAGTATCAAAAGAAAGTCTCCGAAGACCAACTACCAAACAAATCCTTTCCACAGAATCTATGTTTGAATATTGTAAATCTGCAATTGAAGGTATCAAATTCATTCTGGTTGAAAAGGAAGAAGTCGAGGAAGTGAGGAGGAGTCTCACCACGAGATTCGAAAATGCATCCACAGTCCCAGGAACAAGAAGTTTTCATCAATTTATTCCACTCACCAGAGATAAAATAGCTATGAAACAATGTAGCGAAGATGAAAACGATGACCTAATATATGACTTTTTTATTGGGGCTGAAGAAAAACCAGTAAATTTTTTTTTGTTTCAGGATATGTTTGTTGCAAGTGCAACAATAAAAATTGGATTGGCTTGGTCCTGGAAATTGATATGGCAAATAAGGACTTGCTGATTAAGTTCATGTACCCAGCTCTTCCATCACATTCATTTTACTGGAAAGAAGATTTTAAGGATATATGTTTTGTACCATTAATGAATATTCTGTGCACTGTTGATGTTCCTCCAACAATAAATGGTAGAGTTTATCATTTGTCAAAGATGGATAAATTATCTTTGTAAAAAATTATATCCAAAACAATTTAGTCTATATATGCACAACAAAATTTAGTGCATAAAATGTAATCTTTTAAAGATACTTTGTATGTTCATTTCCTGAATGAAACAAAATTCAAATATTTTTATTTCATGAAAATAATTTTGAAAAATTATTCAAAAAAAGTAATGAAAGCATTTCCTTCAACTATATAAATATGTTAAGTTCCAACTTCAAATATTATGTTTTAAAGATTCACATTTATCTTTTTAAAAAAAACTGGAAATCTGACTTTGAAATTTTTTTAAATATCAATTATCATTTTTTCAAAACTTATTTTAAGAAAATCAGAAATTATAATGTTTATTTAAAATATTTTGAACTAAACTTAACTTAGCTTTTGTGCCAAAAAGATGTAATTTGAAAATAAAACAAAGCAGGTCATAAACTTTCGCGTCTCTTGACATGTGATGAATGATATATTTACGAATTCCATGAGGCTAATTTGTTCTACGGAAGGAGAAAAGTGAAATAATTTACATTTACGTGAACAAATTATTTACCCGTTATTTTTAACGAAAACTTTCAGCGGTCTAATTTTTTTTTTTTTTTACTTAGCTTTCACCTTTTACGTTTATGATGCTTTATGGGAAATATTTGTAAAGAAATTAAAATAAAACTGTTAAGAGTGACATTAAATTTCATATTTCTTAAGAAAGGTATCTAATTAATTTATAGGTACCTTTCTTATGAAATTTTATCAGAAATGTACATAAAATACTATAATTTTATGTACATTTATTACATTCTACTGTTATTTGTATTTGCATTCATTTTATTATTAATTTTGATATTTCATTTATGGAAAAATGTCATAACTGAGATTAATATAAAAATAAGATCATATAAATTTCATAAGATGATACTGATACTTGTAGGTACCTTCTCAGTTGAAATTGAAAAATCAAATTAACTTCTCCACACGTGTTTTTTCGTAGTAAAGGCCTTAACAGTGGAGAACAATGCTTAACTCAAATAACGCAACTTAATTATATTCTGGTTGGTCTTCCGTATTTTATAATTACAGCTCGATTATAAGCACAAAATTACATTTCTTAATTACTGGGGATCTTCTGATTAGACAAAATGATACAATTTACAACGCGCTAAAAAAGATCTATCTCATAAGGACACTTATGAAAGCCGATCTGACTTTTTAACTAATTTTATAATATTTTAACAACTTAAATGTAAAATCTATTATAATTAATGAAATAACAAATAATTGTATTAAAAAATTCATTTTTCATCGAAAAAATTTTTTTGCTTTCAGAAAATATTGTCCATATTCATAAAAACAACTAAAAGCAAATAAAAGCATTTGAAATTAAATAATATCTTTTGTTTTATTGAGTTTTGTATGTTACAATTCAGAGCTGATTTTCAGGTACTGCGTATCCAATTAAAAACAAAAAAACATGATTTGCATTCCTCAAAGCCCTGTGCTTTTAATTATTGTAACCACTAAAACCGATGCGATCGAATTTCTAGCGTTTTCATTAAATTAGTTATGGGGGTAATAAATATTTAAAAAAATATTTCTACCATGACTTTCATAAAAAAAACATATTTATAATAATTTCGATCATCTGTGAATAGTTCCTGAAAGTTTCATTAACATCCGATAATTATTTCTATTTTTGCACGATTTTTCAAATTAATGTGTGTCATACCAAAAAAACGTGCTAAAAATTGTCTATGTTATTTACTAGTTCCGCTGATACAAATAGAAACAAGGTTTTTTAATCAAAATTTAGAATGTTCTAAAAAGAAGGAAAATTTTTTTAAAATAATTAAAAAAAACCTTTGGTCTTTCCTCTTAATAATAACATAAGCATTTAGACAATAAAATTTTGTTTTCGGCAAGGTTGGCGTCTTTTTCATCAAGCTATGCTCCTTTTTTAGCGATTTCGTGGAGGTACCTATGTTTACTGCTTTTTAAAGACAATCTATCTGTACAAAAAGTAATATCTGCAAAATATATTTAAATAATTTTTTTTTTTAAATTAATAAAAACAATCTTATTGAATAGTTTAAGAAGTTACTTAGCACAATATCAACATTTTGGAGGTCATGAAGCATTAAGATGATTGGCTTTAATTATAATCTTTCTTGGAAATCCTGAACATACATAAGAAAAAACTCTAAAGTTGGCAGGGTCATATCTTCTAAAGTAGACTTAAAACCCTCACAAAATCTTTTGGTGAACTTGAGCAGGTATTGTAGATGTTAGGCAAAAAATATTATGAAAATTGAACAGGACATATTTTCGATAGACTGACTGTAAGCTACATAGGTGAAAAGTTGTTGAATTTTGGGGTAATGTATTTGGGTGAGCAAAATAAAATTTTCTATCAAGTGTAGACTTGAAATAGTTAAATATTTGGATTCTACACTTCTTATTTGCCCTACATACCAAATTTCAGAAATACTGAAGGTATGGAAGTATTTTTCTTTAAATTTTAAAAAAACACTGAAATTCGGCAATATTGCTTGGCTTTAATTTAGAGGCAAAATAGTACAATTATACACCCCACTCCCTTAAAATTGGAATGGTAAAGTCTAGCACAAAATAATTTGGCACACTTTCCTAACTCATGAAGGGGAACATTTATGCCAAATTTCAAGTAATTTGGTGTCAATGGGTGTAATGCCCTGGTGAATTGACATGGAATGACCCGATCACAAACAACAGTGTTGATTCAAGGATCAGCTCAAAAACACCTTGCTGAAAACAGAAATCAATCCAGTCAATTGGGAGGCAGAAGCTGCAAAAAACCAATTGGAGAAGAACAGTCCATGAAAAAACATCCTTTGAAAGGCCAGAAGACAAATAGAAGAGAGGAAAAGAGCTCAAAGAAAAGGCAGAGCTCTCCATCTCTTGAAACTTCCTACCCTACTATGTGGTGGCTGTAGAAATCTTTTCAGATCCAACATAGGACACATTTCACATAGAAGGAAATGTTGATAAGCACCCCAATACTTGGCAATGAGTTCTGCCAACAATGACAATATGTTATAGATGACAATTGATATAGCAAAGAGTTTGCAAAAATAGTGTTAAAAAAATTAGAATGATCAGAGTTGTTAAAAGGGTGTTTAGTGAAGCAAAGACCAAGCTGGATAAAACTTGAACTTCATCTTTATTTCTAAACTAGAAAACATTGACAGTGCCTATCTCCACCATTGTTTTTGTCACTTAACTTCTCTAAGGATATAGGACAACCTCATTAGCACAATCTTCATAATGCAACCAAAGAAACCAGGTCCAAATGCTAACAATCAGCATAATGAGCCATATAACTAAACAAAGATTAAGATTTTAATAAATTGAGCTCACAGTAGAATTAGACTGGAGATAGTGAAAGAACAATGTGGTTTTGTTCAAGACACTAGAAAAAGAAATAATCTGAATGCTATCAAAGTTAAAAATTGAAAGATCTATTATTATTTCTATATGTTTTTATAAATTATAAAAAGTCATTTATTAAAATGCATGAAAAATCCTTTGAAATGTTAGGAAAGCTTGATCCACACAGAAAAGATATTCAAATAATCCATAACCTGCATTGGAAACAAACTGCTTGCATGTAGATAGATTAAAGGAAATACAACAAGGATGTGTTTTCTCACTGGATTTATTTAACCTGTTATATTCTCAGAAAACTAGAAAACCTCACAGTATTATCAATGGATATACCCTTAACAATTTACACCACATACACTGTAATGATGGCAGATTCACAGGGGAAAATTGAAAGAACCCTGGTAGTCAATGAAAGCAAAAAGAAAGGTTTAATCATTAATTGTAAAAAGATAAAATGCATGGTTGTCAGTAAAAAAAAAAAAAAAAAAAAAAAAAAAAAAAAAAAAAAAAAAAAAAAAAAAAAAAAAAAAAAGAAAAAGAAAGAAAAAGAAAAAAAAAGAAAAAGAAGACAACCCAGAGTGTGAGTAATGTATCAGGGAACTTAAAAATCAAGTCCAGAAATTCAGCTATCTAGGTCTAAATAATAACGGATGATGAAAAGAGTGTCAGAGAAATCTGAAAATGCATAGAAATAGTGAAAGAGGCTTTTCAGAAAATGAGCAAGGTAATTAAAGTATTGAAAAATGTTCTTAGGAACATAGTTTTGACTATATCTACCAATAATGTATACAAGTTTAGACTATATCCTAAAGAATGGAATATATAAAATCTTTTTGCACTTTTAGATTCAAACAGATCAACCAATCCAGGAGGGGAGATCAGCTTTGGTATCAGTAAAACAGGAAGAAAACATGCCTGATAATGAATTTTGCTGATTTGGTAGATCTGAAAGAAAGTAATAAGAATGTCGACCTTGTCAGAGTCTTGAGGGAGCTGTGCAATATGAAGGTAACAGTCATGCTAGTTATTATCAGAATACTAGAAATGGTCACAAAGAGTCTTGGGAAAAGACTGGAGGAACTGGAAATTAAATGAAGAATTGGAATCATTCAGATGATGGCATTGTAGAAACAAGGTTCTGAGAAGAATACTGGATGCTCAATGAGGAGACTTGCTGTCACTTTAAGACTCAATCATAAATAAAATAACAAGCATTAATTTTATGAAACTAATGTAAAAAAGAAATTATTTATAAAAAAAGATAATAATAAGATGTGAAGGTTTTCAATTGCAAGTCAATATGGTCATTTGGCAATGACATTTTTTATTTTTACTATTTCGAGAAGCAGACATCAGCAAATTAGTAAAATTTAAAATTTCAAAAGTTCCTGATACAGACTGAAATTTTTATAAATAATTATTTTTTCCTATAAATGTTTAATTCTTTTTCTTAAGAAATTTTACAAATGCATTGGTTATTTTCTGCATGAATCTAAGACTTCGTTTTCTGTACAATTTTAACTTACACTACTTAAGTCACTAAGTGTTTGCAAGGAGGAATTTCAACTTTTTAAAAAAATTGCTCGAATAATCTTTAATTTCCCGATTCTTTCTTTACTAATTTTTTTAAAATAAAAAGTAAGTTTTTAACACAAACTGTTACTTAATTTTTCTAAATCTATTCAAATTTCAAATTCAATAAAATTCTTATGACTTTTTATTTTTTAACAATTCAAATTTGTTTTTGTTTTTAAATTAACATTCGAGTTATATTGCGTAGGTATATTAGATTTTAAACTTTATTTTTAAGTATCTTTTTTTAATTTACCGACAGTCTGCTGGAAAGTTATATAGGCTAATAATAATAATAATGAATTGAATACTACCAATTTCACTTTTCATTTTCAACTTACAATCTTTTCCGGGCAATTAACTCCTGGACATAGTCTAGGAACAGAGACGTAATCGGGATCTTCGATTTCATGTTGAGTTCTTCGTAAATCACTGGAAGAATTCGTTGTTGAATTGGCCGCGGTGGGACTAATTGTGTTTGGATTATTGACTACATTTGATGAAGAAGGGACAGTTTTTCCTGTTCCACTTCTTGGCTGTTGTTGTTTGACTAGATTTTCAAGATCACGTAAATTCGAAGAAGTTGTTGAAGAACAAGAAGAAGTAGGTGTGATAGACGATGTACTGCTTGTGACAGTAGTTGTGCTTGATGCCGGGGTAGAAGCTGTACTGTTATTGCCGACACCCGGTATATCTATCATTTCATAATCATGAATTACACTCGAACTCGACACAATCTGTGGTTGTTGTTGTTGTTCAAGTTCGGATTTCTCATTTCTATCCACCGATTTTCGCTTTTCACCAAATTCTTCATTTTCATATTTCTGACTGGCCATTGCTTAAGTTTAATCTTTGATGAAAAGTCATATAATGGAAATAATCAACTGAAATATGTCTGTTTACAAAAATACTATGACAAAAAGAAGTTATATCAATCCACCATTTAACGTTGTAGAACGCAGTCTAATGATCAGGGGGAGATAACTGCATCGGTTATTATATAGTGTTTAGCTTAGTGGTAAATGTATAGGACTGAAAAAAAATCAATTGACCTGAAATTCATGTGTAGTAGAAATTACAAAAGATACATAACATAACACGACAGTGTAGCTTAAGTAATTGCTGGATATGAAAATCTCAATACAAAAATCAAACTGATAAAATTTGGTCTATGTGCATAAGGATCAATGCGTATCTTCTACCAAAAATAAAAAAAAACTTTTAGAATAGGTTATTTGTTTATTTATTTACTTATTGCTTGTTTTAGTGTCAAAATTTGAATCTATACCATCAGCAATAGCACTGTGGCAGACTTCACCACATTTATTTAACTTAGATTAGGAAACCAAACTGCCGTGAAGAAAAAGAGGATAAGCCAAAGACATCATTACACATAAAATTTGTATTTAACAAGATGTAGAAACAAGGATGTGAAAGAAAGGTATGCATTGAGTAAAACAAGAGTTGTCTCTCTTTAACTATCAATTGTTCCAAAGTTCACTGAAAGCAATAAAGTTGTAATAGTTTCTGGTAATAAATGTTTTCAACAGTTTTGCTGTGTAAGAAAAAAGATTATGTGAGTATAGGGAATATTCAGCATGTGAGTGGTGGTGTGAGTGAGAAGGTTGGCACATGGTTTCAACTGTTGTGGATTTCTGTGGCAGCTGAGATCTCACTGGTTTACTAAGAATTTTCTTTGCTTATAGGTGATCATCGGCTCCGAAAGCGCTGCACAAGAAGAATCATTCTTCACATGCAGACATTCTGATTGGTTGGCACTGACCAATCAGCAAGCAAGCTTTGGGGAGACTCACGAAAAGCTTCTGGGATCCGTTTCTCCCAAAAGTGCACGAAATCAACTACATGAAAATATAGTGATTATAAAATTGTCGCATTACACAGTAGTGTTGATTTTCTATCCAATGAATGCTTGTGGTTGTGTAATTTGAATTTTCATAAGTATGTATGTGTGTGTGTGTGATGATGATCATCATCACAGCACATTTTTCTTTATAATAGCACATTTCATTAATTATTGGTCATTAACAAGGGTAAAGAAAAATAAATATACAAGTTTGGATAACGACATTCAAAAGATACAATGCTTTCATTCATCAACAATAGAAAATAAAATTTAATAGGGAGTTAAATTTATCATTTGTTCATGGTTGAGTGCTCCTGCATATTTGTATAATTGTACATAAAAAGAGATTGTACATAGACATTTATGTTTGGGAATAGCTCATAGTTGGAGGTGTATGGTCCTCTTTGAGGAAATTATTGGATTTGAAAGATGTTGGTTGGTACTTCAGTTGTTTATCATTGATTGGGTCAAAAGTAAAAAGTTGAAAACTAGGTTTTCAGTTGTATATTTTAATTGGATTGAAAATACATTTTTTGATTTTGCAGCTAAATTTTGTTTGCTATTTGAAAGTTCATTCAGGATCCTTATCATTCCTTATTCAACTTTTGAAAAGCGAACATATTCACTATATATAAATATATATAATGAATATATCATAAAATAATATAGAGTGGCATATAAAAGAAAGAGACAAAAGAAAAAATCAAAATCAATTCAAAACTGAATTTTTCAACATATTAAGAATGATGGTGTAACAGGAGAGAGTTATGGAAGAAAGATTTATTCTCCCATTAGTATTTTATCCGTTATGTGCAATATTATATTCATGATATAATAACACTGCAGTTTACAGATGGAAAGAAATGGCTGAAAAGAAAAAGAATGACAAACATGCTTTGTTTTCGGAAAGATTTATATGACTAAGAAATACACAAAGCTATATATACAATTGTGCCACACAGAGAATAATATATCACATATATCTACACAGCAAACAGATTGTAAGGAGAAACAAAAAGGAAATATCTTACATCTAATATGGAGATACTTCTGTATTTGGAGAAGCTACATTTAGGACTCCAGATTCAAATGGGTCAGATTCATCTATGTCCCAAGCAAGGACATATTCCACAAATGGGAAACAGTGAGTCTTGGGTTTTCCCAAATTGAGGACTGCAAGCTGGCATTTCATTCTATATCTGGGAAAGATATATCCAGGGATGAGTTTAGACTGCGACACCACAGCAAAATGCTGTGTTGCCCTTAAAAGCAAGGCATATCCATGTCAATTTTTGCCTTCAACTTCAAAAAAAAATTTTTTTATTAACGAAAAATGTTACATTTTTCTTAATAAGGTGGTCATGGGGATTTTTAAAGAAAAAATTTAACTAGAGTCCTATGCAGATATATTTTCAAAGAAAAGAGGTAAATGAAAGAAATTTCAACAAATGTTACGAGTTTATTTCAATTTTGCAACATTTATGTCTACTGGAAATGAAATGAATATTATGTGTATACACACATATCACATAGTAATAATATATTTCATTTTAAAACAGCATACTTAAATAGACTGATCCCCTCCAAAAGGAAAGAAAACTAAATATATGTCAAAAAGTCAGGGATCAGTTTGATATTGTATTTATATTGTAAACAGGACCTCCCATCTAAAATAATAGAAAATTAATGTTTTTTGATTCTGACAAATTGCTTGAGTAGAGGAAATTCTTCTGAATGCTAGGCAACAAAAATTAGTCATGAATATATTTTTATCTATAAGAAATTACTTATTAATATTTATGTCAGAAAGTAAAGGATTCTTTTGACATTTACTGTACATATTTTTTGTTTCAATAGTTATTTTGATTTTATGCTGAAAAAAGCTTTATATTTTTATACAGTAATACAGCAATCTAGTTCTTTCCACATATTCTAAGTTAATGGTGTAAGGTTTCATTTCTTTTTTGAAAATTTTTCACATGTATCATTGCTAATAATTCTAGTCATCATAATCTATGTTGTCAATAAAAATATTTGATTTTAAAGCTTTGTGCTTATTTTTATCAATTCTTTTAAAGATTTTACAAATAAAAAACATAAATTTTGTGAATTCTAAAACAAATTGCCACAATGCCCTTAGTTATTACTGTGGTGCTGTCATTTTTAAGGAGTCCACCAAGGCAATTTTTGCTTAGCCCTATCTTATACTAAATTCATCCCTGGCATGGTGGAGTAATGGATAGTGGCTTGGATTGAGGGATTGGAGAACTGGGTTCAAATTCCAGTCAAATCCATTACATTCACTTACATGCTAATACCCTTGGGAAAGGTATGAATCCTCTTCTTCTCCCCCCAGCTATGGATAAATAGTAGGACAGACTGGGTTCTATAGCCTTGGATGGCAACTAGTCTACTGCAGCAAGAAATGGCAACCTCCTGCAAGAAAAATCTACCTCGTCAGTCATGTATCACAAGATACATGATTGCCTATGCATGTATCATACATGGCACACAACTGACTGATATTCCCAAAAGAAAATGGCACTTTGGACTTGTAAACTGCAGGGGAAGCAGATTTAGCCTCAGCCTGAGCCCATTAATCCAAGCTAAAAAAAAAAAAGCAACCTTTCAGTTTGCTGCTGTAAAACAAACTGAATTTGGATACCAATTTCATCACTCAATGGAGTGACATCACTAAGCAGATGTCATGTGACCTACATCTTCAACAAATAAGTGCCTTCTGTATCCCTATGTAGGGAGACCACAATTGTTTTCCCTTTGCATTAGCCCATGAGAGTTGTGGCCCCTTTTAGTGAGTAGAACTCTTCTGCCCTTTTTTGTCTTCACTTCCGTTCTGGGAGGAACGACCTCTTTCCCTTCCTGACCACCAGAGCGTCCACACACGTGGAAACTGGTCAACATGTGTATGGTCTAACGAAACAAACTCATTCACTCATCTGTGGACGACCAAAGGCCATGAAATTGGTAGGTGATATCTTTGTACTAATTCTGTTTAACCTCCTCGTTCCTTTGGGACAATATGGACATTTATTTGTTTTGGGACATGTATAAATCTTGTGTATATATTTACGAAGGCTGCTTGCCACATTAAATGTTTCATTGATTACACTCGCGTATTTCGTCTTTTTGCATTCAGTGTTAGTGTATCAATGGCTACGCTAATGCTAATATTAGTATCGGTATGCGTTATTCTACCTAACATAGAATAGTCAGTAAACTCTGTGTGGCAAATACACACCTCATACCTACAATGCAACTGACACAGCTTAAGTATACCATTTCAACCATCTTTTTTTGAAACTAACTGAAACAAGATCATTTTTTTTTCACATGAATAATTAATAAAACAATCTAAAATAAAATGAAGAGAAAGATTCTGCTAGATGAATTTCTTTTGTATCATACAAATCATCATTTGCTAGATGAGGAGGATTAACCTTTATATTAGTGTCATACTTATTAGAGCCATCTTGAATATCAATCTTTTAATATACTTTCATTATAAAGTAGTTATTTGGTAGAAGAGTTACCATTTAACATTTCTGTGAATTCCTGTTTTATTTAAAGAATATCTTCTCAGTATTGAAAATTAAATTATGACACTTTTAAGAAAAATTTGCCTTTAATAAAATAAAAATCTATGAATAATATCAGTCAATAAGTATAATTTTATGACAAATAAAAATTTATCTTTAATCTTAATTTCCTTGATAAAATCAAATGTTATTGTTACAAGCACATGTATGGTAGCATGAGAGAACAAATGTAACAAGTACAGCTGGTGAGATGAAAGGAAAAGAAAACAAGAATTGTTAA